GGCTCGTGGAGACAAGACCTACGTCTCTGAAAATTTTAAGGCAAAATATGCAAAGCTTTCCTCCGGAATGAAAATGTTATCGAAGGAAATTTGGCAACTCCCGAATATGTTCATACGGCGTTTTTCCTTAGAACGGCAGTATTGTCCCGGTAATAAGACTAGGTAGTGGACTTCACAGGGACGTTACGGTTTTCATTTCACGCGGATACTGCGCCAATGATGGGGCGCATCTGCATTGACGCTTTGGGAACTAAGTGTACGGAACCGTACGTGACGGAGAAGATACTTCAGTGACAAGGACCGGACCTTGCCTCATATGGCCGTTCCCAGACGATGGAACGTGATGCCATTCCAAAACTGAACGAAAATCAATTTTGTATGACGTCAACTTCGCAAGCAAGAACATAACTGCCGATTTCTGCCTGAAATGTTGCTATTTGTTGCGCGTATTCTTCTGGAAGCTCGGACCTGTAATGATTCAGTGCGTCTAATTGACAGGCTTGGAGGACAAGGTGCATAAGTGCAGTTTTTAAAAAAATTGAGTTATTAATGATTTCAAGAAGTAAAACTAATCTCAATCCATATTCTGTGCAAAATTCGCTCCCAAATTCCAATTTTAAGCATCCAATAGTCAGTTTAAACTTCTTTTCCGCCATAAGGATCCATATAATTTCGAAACTTGTAATACGTATTAATCGAAGTGGCAAAACCTGCACTTATGTGCCTTGTCTTCCAAGCCCCTTAATCATGGGAGACGAAAGTGACATCGTATTCAAAGTTATGACAAATAGTCTGGTAGGACCGCACGACCATGGAAGAAAGGCTACTAAAAAGGGGCTTGATTTGGCTTCTCCTGGGAAGGGACAAAAAGGACATTCAGTGCCGAAGCACTTCAGTACAACGAAAATATTGAAATAAGTAATTTTGCAATTTTATGGGATTTTAATTTTTATCAGTGGCGTGGCGTGCTATGCGGTATATCGATTGAGTTAGCATTTTAAACCTATGAGAAAGGATCCATAAACAGGGTGTGTTTGCAACGAACCCCTCAATAATAGATTCGTTACCACAACCTCCATTCGTAGTCGATCATTTACGCCTCGCCACCGATATTTTCCCATCATTTGGTCCAAAAAGGCCGATTTTAAACGATCAACAAAATGAATCTCATGCGGGAGAGAGTTAGGCAGTTTGCAATGCAAGCAAAATTGGGACTTATACAGGGTTATTCAAAAGTTACGCACCACTGGCCATAACTTTAGTTCTAATTATGATATCGATTTGCGGTTTGTGGCGTCCTTCCTCATATCGAAGGGGAAACTTCTTGAGGTACTTTTCAGTTCTTCACCCCCCCAGGGGGAGGGGGGGCGGGGGGCAACTCAAAAATTTCAAATGGCAACCCCCATCATGTGATACATCGTTAGAAAGAGCATGAAAAAAGAAAATTTTTGGCGCAAACCGGAAGTCGATCTGACCCCCCTGTCAAAAGTTAGGGGGGTCCAAAGGTTATTTAGGGGGTCCATACCTTCATTTTTTACAGTACCTTCGGCGGCTCTTGGACATACCGTTTCTCTTTTCAAAGAGTCCTCGAATACTCCAAGTCTGATACCGAAGTCTTCATATTGCCCCCGGGCCACCACAGCCCCCCCGTAGGGGGGATGGGCCTGTTACAATGAAACATTGCATTAAAATGCGAAAAGTCACAGAATAGCTTCAAACTTAGCATCAAATCCGAGTGGAACTTCTTGCCAATGTTAACGCAAACGCAGCCTGCGACTTTAAAGTGAGTTTTCAAAACTCTTAGCCCCCTGCCCCCCCTCATTTTTGGTTGCAGAGCGGGTAAAAACCGGGAAATTCACTACAAATAATGCCCGAAACTAATGTCCAACTCGAGGAGGACCCTTGAAACGTTGCGATCAGTCGGAGCATTGAAATACAAGGACTGCCACCCCCTTAAAGTATGGAAACATCCAAATCACCCCCGCTGCCCCCCTCATTTTTCGTTACGGAGCGGGTAAAAACCGGGAAAATCGCCAGAAATGATGCCCGAAACCAATGTAGAACTTGACGAGAACCCTTGAAACGTTGCGCTCAGTCGGAGAACTGCAACACAGGAACTGCCGCCCACTTTAAGGACGGAAACATCCATAAAACCCCCGCTGCCCCCCTCTTTCTTCGTTGCAGAGCTGGTAAGAACCGGGGCATCATTTCAGGCGATTTTCCCGGTTTTTACCCGCTCCGTAACGAAAAATGAGGGGGGCAGCGGGGGTGTTTTGGATGTTTCCGTACTTTAAGGGGGTGGCAGTCCTTGTATTTCAATGCTCCGACTGATCGCAACGTTTCAAGGGTCCTCCTCGAGTTGGACATTAGTTTCGGGCATTATTTGTAGTGAATTTCCCGGTTTTTACCCGCTCTGCAACCAAAAATGAGGGGGGGCAGGGGGCTAAGAGTTTTGAAAACTCACTTTAAAGTCGCAGGCTGCGTTTGCGTTAACATTGGCAAGAAGTTCCACTCGGATTTGATGCTAAGTTTGAAGCTATTCTGTGACTTTTCGCATTTTAATGCAATGTTTCATTGTAACAGGCCCATCCCCCCTACGGGGGGGCTGTGGTGGCCCGGGGGCAATATGAAGACTTCGGTATCAGACTTGGAGTATTCGAGGACTCTTTGAAAAGAGAAACGGTATGTCCAAGAGCCGCCGAAGGTACTGTAAAAAATGAAGGTATGGACCCCCTAAATAACCTTTGGACCCCCCTAACTTTTGACAGGGGGGTCAGATCGACTTCCGGTTTGCGCCAAAAATTTTCTTTTTTCATGCTCTTTCTAACGATGTATCACATGATGGGGGTTGCCATTTGAAATTTTTGAGTTGCCCCCCGCCCCCCCTCCCCCTGGGGGGGTGAAGAACTGAAAAGTACCTCAAGAAGTTTCCCCTTCGATATGAGGAAGGACGCCACAAACCGCAAATCGATATCATAATTAGAACTAAAGTTATGGCCAGTGGTGCGTAACTTTTGAATAACCCTGTATTTCTCAATTCGATTGCAATACATTTCAATACACCGAGCTCCTTCAATCCAGTGCATAGACAACATGCACAACAATCTGGCATATCAGCACTAATTTTACCATGTAATGGAGATGTTGCATGTGTGAGGAATTTGCGATTTGACTATTGATTCTTATGTGAAAGTTTGCGAGAAACACGATGGTGCCACTGGTTTTCTCTGAAATCATCTCCCAAGCTAAAAAAAGCTCTCAAGTTAAGGCCAAAATGGAAGGGATATCCCTTGCTATCCTGAGAGTCCTGCACTACAACAAAACAAACCCTCCATGCAAAGATAGGGAGCAAATACATTAGCAGTGTTGCCGTGTTTTCAGTTTTGGAGTCCCCAAATAAAGTAGCAACCCTGCTAATGTATTTGCTCCCTATCTTTGCATGGAGAGTTTGTTTTTATGTAGAGGTGGACTCTCAGGATAGCGTGGGATATCCCCTCCATTTTGGCCTCAACTTGAGAGCTTTTTTTGAGCTTGGGAGTTGATTGCAGAAAAAACCAGTAGAACCATCGTGTTTCTCGCGAACTTTTACATATGAATCAACAGTCAAATCGCGAATTCCTCACACATGCAACATCTCCATTGCAATTTGTGCTACTTGGATGAAAACGATTGCAACAGTTACGTGAAACCTACATGAAGTGTCAACTCTCCTCTCTTTTAAGGATTTTCGAAGGATGAGAGAATGAGGCTTAGGCGTCATGTCGCAGAGCGCCAGAGAGGATGGAGACAGCGGCTATTACGTATGTATCAGAGAAAAAGAAATAGCGGAGAAATTTTAAGTTATCAATGTTGAACAGTTTCTAATCTAAAAATAAAATTTTCGAGTGGAACTCTTGAAACGTTGAATTAGAGTGAAGTTGAGTACCTTCTATAGAGAGGAGGTTACATTTTAAGTTACATATGGAAAAAGGGGGAACGAGCCATCGAAAAGAAGCTTTGAGTAGGAGAAAAGGTTTAGAGTAAGTCCTTGCAATTGAAAATTTTATCATATTGCCACTGAAAAAAAGTGCCTGGCTCATGGCCCAAGCATGATGATTCTTGAATTTGCCGCCAAGAATTTATTTTTTCTTGATTTAAGCTAAATTTCTCTTGATACAAAAAAAAAAAAAATATTGAGTTAAGCAAAAATGTAGCGTTTATATTGTGCAGAAAATTCTCGATACAAGAAAAAATACTTCTTGGTGGCAGATTTAAGGTTATTTTTTTTTAGTGGTTTTTTTTGTGGTGTATTTTTTTTTAGTTTTTTCTTTAGTGGATGGTGTTTGGTGAGTGGTTTTTTAGTGGTTTAACAGGAGTAAAAACCACTAACTCAATGGTATTTGGAAAAAATACATCTCGCTCATTCTTTTTTTCCTCCGTTTCACTGTCGGAACAGCTAGTGTACAGTCATTGTGAACCCTGCCACTGTGCTGGGAAATTTGACAATCATGCAGGATATAAAAATGAATACTTTTTTATTGTATGATCTACTTCATTCGCAATATTCGTTGAGGACGTGAGAATTTAATTAACTGCACAAAGAGTATCAGTTATGCCAGTTTCTCGTTTCATCGCAGTTTCCATTTTTGCAGTGTAGTCTAGCAACGGCAAGTTTCAAATCACCACGTTTCGTCAGTTTAATCGCTTTGTAACGAGAGAATTACAAAGGAAAATAGTAAATCAAGGAAATGCGAAAGTATTCTCGCTGCTGGAAATATTTCAGTCTGATTGTGGGCCTTATTTTATCGCATGCTCCAACGCAGGGGCAAAGAAATTAAGCAATTGCAATAATGAATTGACTAGAAATTCGGGTGCGGATGTGAGATAATTGAAGAGATGACAAAATGCCGTGGAACAATGCAAAATTTCGGACGATTCCTCAATTTTGTTTACGTTTTGCGAAGAATTATCGGAGGAAGAGGCCGATTAGAAACTCGAACTGTCAACAATTTAAACGCCGCATGCACCGTGCAATTTTCAGAATGAGGTTAGTTTAGTTTTGTGTTGCTTTCTCAGTAAGAATTTTCATTTTCTCATGACTGCTCTTAGCCAGTTTTCCGTCTGCTGAGTTACAGTACGTCACCCACACATAGTGAGAATCATTTTCAGTTCATTTGAATTTCGAACCGCGGTACGCGCTTATTTTTAATGATCTGCACTGGTTACTAGTTCCTCTGGTTACATTAAGGCAAAAATAAGCAACAGTCATGTATACTAAGTATTTATTTTCTTTAGCTTTAGTTAGTGCTCTTATCACTTTACAGGATGCAGCAAGAGAAAGCATCGATGGAGGTAAGCTTTTTTAGGTATCAAAGCTGCTTTAAAATTAATCATCAAGTTTTACAGTCAAACTCACTATTTTATTGTCTCAAAAACTTTATGAAGGGATCGTGATGTGGTTTTGTTTTGGTTTGAAGGGGGGGGGGGGACAGGCACCCCAAAGAAATGAGAGTATAATGTGAAGACATCAACGATGACTTCCATAATTTCAATGAATATACCCGAATCAAGCGATTGCTAAATCAAATTTTTGCTATTCATACACTTTTACGCATATTAATATCACTTTTATTTATTCAGACATAGAAATTAGCTCTTGATTTCAAAATTTCTAGAATTTCTAGAATTTCTAGAGATTATAATATAGCCATTCAACCATTTATTTTGCTTTTTTAAACTTCCCAATTGGCGAGCCGTACCTCTATCTCGGAGTGCTAATTGTACAATGTGAATGGACGTTTAAAATCTCGTGACATAATCGGGCAGATTTCGAGAAATTGCTCCATTACAAGCTTCAATTTTGATCATCGTAGTAGAACTTAAGGCAATTTAATAAAAAGGAGGGCTGGGGAATTTTTCTCTCCTCCTTCCATATAGCACATAGAATAATTAAAATAAAGCAGGAACTAAAAAAGAGGGGGGGGGGAATTGATAAAAAGTCCCTTATTTGGCCAATAACCGTCCTCTGCGTACAATAAAAATCTGTTCGCATGACTCAACTCTGATCGAACCCTGATCAGTGACGCTCTTTTAAAGTTGGTAACACTGCGTTTCGCTCATTTCAATGTGCGTAAAATAATCGATATTTTGTCAAAACAGGCTGCTTTACTTAGGATTGGTCGTTTTTAATGGATTTAAATGGAAGAAAAACGGGCTTTCTAACGGTTGATGCAAATATCAAACATGTTCATTATCTGACCGACCTCAGAATGCGGGTATTAGTATGGAACTCAGGAGTTAAGAGGAAACAGGAGATATACCAGGGGGAAAGCGGGAAACAAGCCTAAAATAAAACATTAAAAGCCCGAGACTTTTTGACTCAAAATTGAGTCATTTTCAGTCGGAAAATAAATTATTAGTTAAAAATATCTAAGAAAAAACTTGGGACCTACATGTTTGCGGCCGAGATCCGAGAAAAAGAACCATGGGTATTTAGTGTTGTATTTTAGCCTTTTTTCCCTTTCACCCGCCTTGTTCTCTCCTGTTGCCATTACCTCAGGTTGCTTCGTAAAAATGTGTATCTATGTTAAGAGGAAATGGCCCTTCAGGTTTTAGCATCACCGATTCAATTATAAACGGATCCTATGATTTTTTCTTGAATCAGCCCGCCTTGCCGCTTCGGGGTGACTGAATCTACCTTTGCCGCAGACAGCAAGAAAGGAAAAAAAAGTGTATGATAAAAATTGTGAACCAAAGTTAATAAGCAGCATGTTCGCATTTCTCAGGTTTCGGGCCGAATATAAAATGGTACAACTCTCTGGAGGAAGGAATACTGGCAGCGCAGTCAGACATGAGACCGATCATGGTCATCGTTCACAGGTCGTGGTGTCCTGCCTGCAAGAGTGAGTACGGCTTTGACATTATTTCACGATCGTTAGAACAAATCTAATGGGTCACTAAACCTTGTATATTTTATTGAATATTCTGAAAATACAGTGTGAGTAGATAACGTGGTGATTTTTCCGCATTTTTATGGAGCCGAAATCGCGGAGAAACCCGCTTTTGAAAAATCTAAAAACTGCAAGACATTTCAAACGCTCCCGAATGGCGGGAAACTGACGGTGTTGACGCACTGCGGTAGTCATATCGCAATCTTCTCTCATTTTCCTCTGATATTTGATTAAATAAAACGTGTTTCAATGTGGAATTGTTGCTCGTTTATTACAGCTAACATATGAATGAGATTCAAGTCTTGAATTCAAAAGATTTAATTTCGACTTTAGTATTGTTTTCATATACGAAGAGTAGATAGACATTTGACGGAAGTCGTGGAAACCCTTGCCCGCTTCTGATTGGTGCCGGATGACATCATTCGGCGCGGCGCGAAACCGGGGCGTTTTAAATTTGCGTATAAGTTATGAGCGATTTGAAGTACGCACTTCTCGGTTATTGAGTTACTTGTTCCCGTTTTTAATGAGCGTATCGTGTTCTGCGCGTCATTTTCCTTCAGAGAACTATATTCGCAAGTCAATATTCGTTCATGGTTTAGTGACCCATTATAAACGGACCGTAGGTATTTAGCAAAAAGGAACCGGCGAAAATGGTGTTTCTTCATAATTATCTAAAAAATCTCCCATGAATAGCGAATGTAGTTTTGGCTTCCCACCAAAAAAATGGTTGATTTTAAAGGAACTAATCTTGTAAATTTTAACACTGAATAGATATTAAGTATTTATGAAAGTAAATAAGAAGTTGCACGATTTTGAAAACAGTGTAATCGCGCTTGTTCATTTTTGCTAAATACAACCCAAATAGAGATACAGTGAAAATCGAATATAACGATCTTGAAGGGACCAGCACTTTCCGTCGTTATTCGTAACTGATAGTTAGATTTTTACGCATCCACCTCAAATTTAATAGCAAAGAGTAAAGCTCTGCTGGCACTAGGACAAGGTTTCCTTATTCGCAGGAGAAGAAACACCATTATTTTTAACACTACATTTTCATTTTTTTTTTTTTTTTTTAAAAAAAGTATTTTATTTTATTTCATTTGTGTGTACACTGGTGTTTGTCACACGCGGTGTTCACTGGTCAGAAACTGTGCACACTGCGGGTGGTAGGTCTGACACCGATAAATTACGAATATTCAACGATAAAATTCTCACATTGGTGTGGGCGCAAAGTGTAAAGCACGCGTACAGCCTTAAAGGTGCTAATATGCGTTTCACACCGATCGTGCTGTTTTGCGCAATGCGTGAAGTATCCTTGCAGTCATGTAGGCGCTAAAATACGTTTCAAGCCGACGGAGTGGACCACATTGTGTTTGACGGAATACGTGAAGTATTCACACGGTCTTGTAGGCGCTAATATGCCTTTCACGCCGAACGCACGGTGTTTGGCACTTTCATTCAAACGAGCGGGGTCGAGCAGTTCTCATTTTGCTTAGTGGTTTGTGCTGATACACGAAGGCCAAAACCCCATCACAAGGTGAAAAATTAAAAATAAAACAATCAAAATAACTTGTTGCTAAGGTGGAGTTTTCGCGCACATTGAATTGATTGAAATTCTCTTGATTTACGTATGTATCGATAGTCTTAAACAGAGAGTATCGCCTCGTTGGGCCATTTCTACCGTGCCAAGGGAAAACGCTGTATAAACATTCGATAGTTGCCAAATTTCCCCAGATTAATCGTGTATTTTTAAGGAGTGTTACTCGTATTTATTTTATTATTTTTTTTTTTTTGAATTTTCAGGTATTTTAGATCAAATTGCGAACAAAATCGTCTGAAAAATTTGAAGCAAAACATTCAAAAAAATCCAGTGAATTTGGTTTTTATTGAGGAGACTCTGGCAACATCTGAAGACTTAAGTTTAAGACTTAAGACTTAAGTTTTTCCTTACCATGGCAGAATGCTCCGGTCGTTGTAGTCGATATCCTAAGCTGAAATTTCGAGGAAAGTTTGTCACTATGGCCGATATGTCTCTATATGCGATGTCGTCATAAACAACACGTAAATACAATGGTTATAAACAGCGGGACCGGTAAAATTGCGACGTTATGTCCGAAAGGTCGATATATCAGATGTCGTTATGTTCGATATCCACTGTAATTAGAATGGATATGCATTTTCAAGCATTGCCTATTATTAAAAAGTTTGTCCGATCTGCAAGTTGGACGTATCTGTTACCGCCTACCGGGTGCGTGGCGTGCTATGTGATACATCGATTAATGTGCCATTCACACCTATGGAAAAGGATAAACAGGGTATCCGCAACGAACACCTTAATGATCGATTCTTTACCATAGCTTCAAATGGGGGAGGTATCGATCGAACATTCACGCAATCACCACTGCGGCCTATATACGCTCAGGAAAAATTTTCGCGAAATTATCGTTAAAATTCAAGTTTCTATGAAATCTGTACGAAAAGAGGTCCAGCGGGCTGATTGTTGAAATTGATAGACAAAGCCATAGACAAAGGAGACAACACGGATGTGGAGGGATCCTATGGGTGAAAGTGGGTGGTTGCAATGAATTTAGGAGGTAGGTAATAGACTAATTAACGGGGACCCTATAGTTAGTCCATCATTTACCCCCTTAGTCTAAGTATCACCCATTTCAACCAATAGGATTGCTTTATCCTCCCTATGTCTTCTTTATCTATCGCTTTGTCTATCAATTTCAAAAATTGAACTTCTATTGAAATGAATTGAATTCTATTGAAATTGATATACAAAACCATAGACAAAAAAGACAAAAAAATATGGAGGGATCCTATTGGTGGAAGAGAGTGGTTGCAATGGACAAAGGAGGTAGGTAACGAACAAACTAATGGCAACCCTCGAGAGACCCTTTTGTTAGTCCATTATTAATTCCCTTAGTCTATGAGAACTACTCAAATCAATCAAAAGGATCGCTCCATACTCATTATGTCCTCTTTGTCTATCGCTTTGTCCATCAGTTTTAACAATCCGCTGGACTCTGGATCCGAGGGACTTTTTTCTCAGTGTCTCTGCTAAACGCAGCCATTTGTAGTACACGTAAAATCGTAGCGCCAACACTATTTTTACAATGCTTTTTTCTTGCAGAATTGAAGCCGGAGTTAGTGAACTCTCGGGAGTACTTTGATCTGAGCCAATACTTTGTCATGGTCAACCTGGATGATGAATCGGACGCCCAAGACGCCAAAAGACTCGTCCCCGATGGCGGATATGTCCCACGTATCTTGTTCCTTGGTAAGAACAGACCAATGCCGTCTTTACGAAATACATACATATAAGTCGCTTTACAGCACTCCCTCGCGCTCTACGACTCCTAACCTCCACTGCTCTCTTTCAAACCACAAATCTTGGGGGATTGAGCATCTTAACATTTCCGCTTCAATCCCTTCCCTCCAACCTTTCATTGGGCGCCCTCTGCGTCTTCTCCCAGGAGAAACCCAGTCAAGGACCTTCTTCGGCAACCTGTCTCCTGCCATTCTCTGCACATGACCATACCAAATGAGTTGTTTTGTCATAATGTCATGCACGATGGTCTGCTTGGCATCCATGATATCCCGTACCGTCTCATTCCTGACGCGAACCTTTCTGGAAATACCAGCGGATCTACGCCAGAAGTCCATCTCTGTTGCCTCTAAAACCTCCCGGGTCCGCTGTTTCATCGGCCATACTTCACACCCGTAGGTTACTATGCTCTTGACAATCGCGTTGTAGATCCTTCTTTTGTTCTCTTTGAAGATCCTTTGGTCCCAAAGGACTCCATTTAACATAGCGATTGCCCTCCTACCCTGCATATTCCTCTTCTTCATGGCCTGGTCCAATCTTCCATCCTGGGTTAGAAACACTCCTAAATATTTGTAAATATCGCAGCTTCCAATTTTCCGCCCATCCTCTAATTCTATACTTTGCTGATTCCCGCCAACGGTCAACTTCTCGGTTTTGCTGACATTCACCTCGAGGTCCCATTTCCGATACTCAGCCACCAACTTTCGAGAAAGACCACCACTTTACGAAATAAGTATTGCAATACGACCGGAATACATTTTACTCTCATTTCAGGATCAGCATATCGATGGCCAAATCACATATCGTCACCTCCCGGCCAAAGTATCACAATCGCCATGCGACGTTTCAAAATTTCCGCCACTTCTTTATTTTCTTACCAAGTTATTGTTCGACAAATCGGTCCGAAACTTTCACTGATTTTCTTCATGCTGCCGATAAAATTCAGTGGAATATTCAAACAGATTCAACCAACAATTTCTCTGTGAAATAATAAAATGGCGGTGGAAATTTTGAAACGTTGCATGGTGCTCGTGATACTTTGGCCGGAAGGTGACGCTATCTCCGTTTGCGACGTTGCCAACTTCCTGTCATACTTCATTTTTTCTATGGAGAATTAGTTAACGTAATTTCTTGAAAATTTCCTTGATTTTTCCTCTCGGTTAGAGGAATATATCTGTATAATTTGGAGTCGTGGTTAGACCAAGTAGATACAAGTGGATTGCATTTTGCAAAAAGGAACCAGAAGCAATGCAATGTCGGTAAGATTGTACAACTTCATCCATTGCAATATAACTATTGAAATCCTGAAAAAATATTAAGTTTACATGATAATTTTTGTCCTAAATTTACAGTTTTCAGCGATTAAAATAGAAACTGTTTACAGATCAACGGGTTCTTCTTCCAAGACAAGAGAAGCTGCACAATCTTAGCAACATTTCAATGCTCCTGGCTCCTTTTTGCAAAATGCAATCCAAGTGTAACAAATGGCTTATTACATTTCTAGATGCATTTCGGCCCTAGGGCCTGTCATCAGTAGTACAAACAGGCAAACAACAATTAACTTAAACCACTTTTTTATACCTGAATCTATTTGGTCTTAACACCGATCCAAAGTATAATTAATAGATTCAATATGTGACCCCTCAAAACTTAATATTCTGCATACATTTTGAGCAATGAAGCTGCCTTGTTTGTTTAAACAAAATAAAATAAATAGAAGTCTCTCTCTCTCTTTAAGTGAATTCCTTAAAAAAATCTTTTAATTCTGTTATTGAATTTTTCAGACTGGAACGGTGAACTGCGACCAGAATTTTGGAACAAATATGGCTCCGGCAAGTACAAGTACTACCACTCGAGCGCCCAAACCGTGACGTCACTAATGAGGAGCGCTCTCGAATACTTCACCCCTATTTCCGACTACTACAAGCAGCAGTACTACCAACAGCTGCAGCAACAGCAACCCCAGTACCAGCCATATCAGCAGTACCAACAGTACGCTTACCAGCCTGTCGAGCAGATCAACTCAGATCTGTGAAATCTGTTGTTTCCTAATAACATGTGTGAAATAAGACGTATTTGTGCTGGAAGGAGCTATGCCTAAATTAACTAAATGAAAAAGAGCTACGAAGCGCGGATATCCAATGCACTTAGTTCCTTTTTGATTAGATTAATTTTTATATTGTTCCTTGGACATAAAACTTAAATATTAAAAAAATGATCACAATCGGACCTCCCAAACAATTTCGTTTCGAAAAGCTTTTGTAAATATTTTTAGATTGTAAAGATCTCTTAGATTGTTTTGCCTGAAAAACATTCATTTTAAAAACTACTGTAAGTTTATGTACAAAATATTATTTAAATAATTTATTCGATCGCTCTAAAATGTTAAATAAATTTAATGAGCTTCATTTCCTCGTGTTGAAAATTATTTATCTTGACTTCCCCTTGAGGATAGCATTAAAGGACAAACAATTTTAGATTTCAAGGTTTTTTTAAGAAACATGTATGGCTTGGTGTTGACTATCAAATGATAGCTACTGTAATTTTCGATTTGAGAAAGAGTATAATCTGTGTACGTAAGCTCATTTGATTTCAATCATATTTCATTAAATAATTATTTTTTTCTCATATTTTATTTTTTTCATGCAAAATTCAACGAGACCAAGAATAATACATTTAAAAGCAAATTATAAGGAACAAACATCATTCATGCAAAAGGAATAAATGCTACATATTGATTGCACTCAAAAGAAAGGAAAAAAGAAAGGGAATGAGTATGTAACTTGTATAAGTTGAGGTTCCATTTAGAGCTATCTAGGTCGATTGTTTTCTAGTGCCTTCAATTCGGTGAGGTGCAATTTCTAATACATCGCCGTTAGTTAGATGTTGACGTATCGCACGTTGCTTTTCCGATCATCATACAATATGAAGTTTAAAAATGAACTTATTGAGTATAGAGTAGCGCTATTTCATTTACATCATTCTTGAACAATGACAAATTCTGCTAAATTCTTTGTAGATTCTCAAACAAAATTTTTGAATAAAAAAGCATAATACTTTGTAACATTATAACCACTTTGTTTAAAACACACTTCATTAGTAAATGATGCCTCACCGATGTCTAATTAATGGGGCGCTAATATGCACCATATCAAAAAAAGTCATTACTGCACCAAAAAATGATATACCCCCTGGATTGACAGTCAACTTCATCATAGGCGGTTCTAGACCTTCATGTTTGGGGGTGCCCGGGGTGCCCAGAGGTGAAAAATGTCGGAGACCGGTCCCGAAGGGGATGAGGGTCGCTCAGGGGAGGCCTAAGTTTCGGCCCTCAAGTTTTATCCCTTTCCTCCCATCCTTTCTCTTTTTCTCTCCTTCCTTTCTACTTAAATTCCTATAAATTCAACGTAGAAAATTTCTAGCAAAACTTTCCATCAAAACTATAATCTTACCATAAAAAAACAGTAGAATCTTTGCAAAACACGGCTATCAATATTAATTCTGTTTAAAACATTTTCAATCAATTGCTGGGATTTTCACTCAGTGTGAGCGAATACAGAATCTTTAAAAGCAGTATAATTTGGTCCTTTTTATATTAAATTCTATACTGGTTAAAAAAGCAATACATAGTGGTGAAGGAAGAAGAAGGCCTCTTTCACGGTTCAGGTAACCGCACTTAATTTTTGCTTGGGGGTGCCCGGCACCCACTGGCACCCCCGTAGAACCGCCTACGAACTTCATCCTCAACCGGTTGATCAAGTGAGTTAATGGGTTTGAACTGAGATATATACATATCGACGGTGAACATACGGGACCACGTTTCTCGGTTTGCGACGATGCAGACTGCCTGTCATACTTTAATTTTCAAATGGAAACCCACTCATCGTCGATTCTTTAAAACTTCCGAAGTTTTTCTTCTCTAAGCAAAGAAAACTCAGCGAAAATTCCAAGGCAGAATGTTGGTTTGTCTATTGTCTTCTTACAAAAGAATAAAATGAAAGGAAGATTTTAAATCACTGTAAACGAAATACGTGGTCCGGTAGTTTCACCGCGTCGATATTTTACTATTGTGAAGATTGGTAACCCGAAAAGATAATCCTGAGTGGAGTTTGTGCAAGACTAGGAGTCCTTGTAAAATTCAAGTCCCCGCTACCCAGATGAATATTATCCAGGATCCAGCCGTTTAGGAGTAGGAAGCCGACTACAGGGGTATCTACGCCTGAAGTCGGTGTTGGTCTTCTACTTCTATCTTCTACCTTCAATTCCCGAAAAAATTCCTAATCTTTATCGTACATGTCCCAATAATAATCAACCCTCAAACGGAAAATGGGTCTATAGTTGACAGTAGGCTCCTCAATAAATTGTTTGAAAAAAAAAACTTTTTTTGAAAACCTTTGCTCCACTCATAATTCTTGATGCTACTAGATTTCATTTGTTGAACATTTACTGAACATTGGTCAAATTTTCGTCTCCCAAATTTATACGTGAATTCCAAGCCCATTTTTTTTTAAAAATAGGCTGATTATGAGGATTTTTTTCAAGCTAAATATTCACATACAAGACACTTTTTGCTGATTCTTCACGTAAAATACTTCATTCATGCTACGTAGATGGCACCGAAAAAGTACTGAATTTTTTCTGCTTTAAAGGCAATGAATTTATTAAAGTGCGGTCAACCTAGGTTCGTAGAAAGCAAATAATAAATTTATAAAAACGTTTACAAATAAACAAGCGCGGTAAGAAATAAAAATAAAAAAAGGAACCCGAATTAACAATCAACTTAAAAGCATCGAAAAAATACTGCATTCTTTTTGGATTTGTAGGAACTGAATTTTTAGTACATGTACTGGAGAAGGGCTGCAAAAGTGCTTAATTCTTGCTGGCCAGATTTGGTTGTTGCCTATCAATGCGACGCAAGGTTGCTGATTTGGAAAGTTGGCAGTTTCGAAAACGCCCTCAAATGTGGCGTGATACCTCACGCGTTCCGGAGAGTACGTATAGTTGTATCACTGCGCCTTAGCAATGCGATGGAAGATTGATATTAAATCAGCCTCCACGCTGCGGCCCTGTCAGTTTTCCTATACCGCTGTTGCACCTTTGACCGCAAAGACTAATAGTGTTCAAGCTAGGTTTGCATTAAGCAATTCGAAATATTTTTAGAAGAATTAAAAATAAACACGCACGGAAAGAAATATAACTAAATGTTAGGAACTCAATTTAACAATAAACTTAAAGGCACCGAAAAAGTACTGAATTATTTTTCATCTTATGTACTGATTTCTTTGCAAAGATGCTTAAAAAGTACTGTTCGATTACTTAAATATGCAGGTCACTTTTAGTAGATACCCTGTCAGAGCTGCACTGATTTACTTATGAGCTTATGCCCTCTAAAATTGCGTGTCCTCTGAGTGTGCCACCAAGTTAGAATCATGGTTACTTAGCTCTCATCGAAAAAGTTAAGAAAATTGGGAGTTATTTTGGGTTCCTATTATTTAGTTATACTTCTTCCTCCGCTTGTTTATTTTTAATTACTCTAAAAATTGATCGAATTGCGTAATGTAAGCCTAGCTTGAACACTTTTAGTCCTCGCGGTCAAAACTGCAGCAGCGGTAAAGAAACACATACAGGGCTCCAGCGTGGAGGCTGATTTAATATCAATCTTCCATCGCATTGCTAAGGCGCAGTGATACAACTATACGTACTCTCCGGAACGCGTGAGGTATCACGCCACAGTTGAAGGCGTTTTCGAAACTGCCAACTTTCCAAATCAGCAACCTCGTGTCGCATTGATTGGCGTCAAACCAAAACTGGCCGGCAAATATTAAGCACGTTTGCAGCCCTTCTTCAGTACATGTACTAAAAATTCAGTTCCTAAAAATCCAAAAAGAATGCAGTATTTTTTCGATGCTCTAAAGTTGACTGTTAAATTGAGTTCGTATTAATTAGTTATATTTCTTCCTGCGCTTCTTTATTTTTAATCACTCTAAAAATTGATCGAATTGCGTAATGTAAGCCTAGCTTGAACACTTTTAGTCCTCGCGGTCAAAACTGCAACAGCGGTAAAGGAACACTGACAGGGCCGAAGCGTGGAGGCTGATTTAATATCAATCTTCCATCGTTTTGATAAGGCGCAGTGATACAACTATACGTACTCTCCGGAACGCGTGCGGTATCACGCCACATTTGGAGGCGTTTTCGAAACTGCCAACTTTCCAAATCAGCAACCTCGCGTCGCATTGATAGGCGTCAACCAAAACTGGTCGGGAAATATTAAGCACGTTTGCAGCCCTTCTTCAGTACATGCACTGAAAATTCAGTTCCTAAAAATCCAAAAAGAATGCAGTATTTTTTCGATGCCTGTAAGTTGATTGTTAAATTGAGTTCATAATATTTAGTTATATTTCTTCCTGTGCTTGTTTATTTTTAATCCTTCCAAAAATTGATCGAATTGCGTTATGTTATCCTAGCTTGAGCTTTTAATCCTCGCGGTCAAAACTGCAACAGCGGTAAAGGAACACTGACAGGGCCGAAGCGTGGAGGCTGATTTAATATCAATCTTCCATCGTTTTGATAAGGCGCAGTGATACAACTATACGTACTCTCCGGAACGCGTGAGGTATCACGCCACAGTTGAAGGCGTTTTCGAAACTGCAACTTTCCAAATTAGCAACCTTGCGTCGCACAGTGCGTTGATTACTACGGGATGAGTGTCAAAAATCGATATCTCCGGTAAAAATTGTTGAAATTCCATAAAAACTTGGTGAGTTCCTCTTCTTGGTACGTAGTATCTTGCGACAAACAGAAGTTTTTTATTAGAAGCTTTTGAGGGGGGTTGTGGGCCCCTTTTGGGGAAAAATCGGATGTAACCCTTTCAGCTGGATTACTCCCCGAAAAAAATAGGATATCAAGCTCAAGTTGGCACCGAAAAAAATTTAACAAGTACTTATTTTCAAAACACATCAATTCACCAAGAGAGAAAATAGTTCAACGTTGCTGTGTTGCCATGTTTCGTTATTTTTCATAACGGGGTTTTAAACCTTAAAGAACATAAAATATAATTTTTTTTTAAATGAAAGCTGATTTAAATTTTCTAATTTTATTTCTCGTTACTTCTACGTTTTACTTCCTGGCAGCTTCATTCCTGCTAGTCAGCACTATTTATTTTTGGTTTTTCCAATTTTTAAATCCTTTTTTTTGTCGCGAATATTGCATTTTGAAATACTGCTCATTTTTAACCCTTTTTTCCACTTTCATGGAGTGCCAAAAAAAAGCACCGTCAAACACCGAAATTTTGTGCACGTGGATTTATTCTGTGGTATGTGTCCTTTCAGAAAATCAACGGATCATCTGCCCGATGTTGCCCGTTCGGACGGAAATCACGATTTTCTAGGAAAATTTGGCCATTTCTCAGGTGTTTTTGGGCTTTCATTTGACTTTGATTCAGGGTTCACAAAGTCACCTCCAATTTTCAAGACATTGTGCACAGACACAAATAGATACTACTAAAAATGATTAAGAGATATGGTAAAATTAATTTTTAAGTATCACATGATGCCAGCTCGCTCTAAAAAATAGTACATTTCTTAAGTATTTGCATCCACGTATATGTACGTATATATATATAAACTTATTCCGATTACTTCAACCTATTTTCCAGAAGATATTGATATGAATACATTTAATGGCATGTAAAATAGGGAAAATTGGAAACTGAAATAGCTCAGTGTTGCCAAATTCCATGAAAACTTCCTAGTATAAACCAGTGTTACGGAATAAAACAAAAGAATATGAACTATGCAAAACGATAATCCGGCTACTTATCGGAACATGGCTGTTTTGAAAACGCCTTCAAACGCGGCGTGATACCTCACGCATTCCGGAGAGTTCAAATAGTTGTATCATTGCGCCTTAGAAATGCGACGGATGATTACAATTGAAATAGCCTTCATACAGGCTGGGCTTTTTCATTTCCGTCAACATTTTTGCAGTCGTGAATGCATGGCTGAAGTGCGCTCTAGCTAAAATTGTCTATAGCAAATTGGTAATTTTTATAGGAGGATTATAAATAAAAAAGTGGTTAGGAATGAAAACAAAAGAATATGAACTATGCAAAACGATAATCCGGCTATCGGAACATGGCTGTTTTGAAAACGCCTTCAAACGCGGCGTGATACCTCACGCATTCCGGAGAGTTCAAATAGTTGTATCATTGCGCCTTAGAAATGCGACGGATGATTACAATTGAAATAGCCTTCATACAGGCTGGCCTTTTCGATTTCCGTTAACATTTTTGCAGTCATTAATGCATAGCTTTAGTGCGCCTCAGCTAGAATTGTCTATTGCAAATTGGTAACTTTTAAAGGAGGATTATATATAAACAAGTGGTTAGGAATGAAAACAAAAGAATATGAGCTATGCAAAACGATAATCCGGGTATCGGAACTTGTCTGGTTTGAAAACGCCTTCAAATGTGGCGTGATACCTCACGCATTCCGGAGAGTTCAAATAGTTGTATCATTGCGCCTTAGAAATGTGACGGAAGATTACAATTGAAATAGCCTTCATTCACGCTGGCCTTTTCGATTTCCTTTGACACTTTTGCAGTCGTGAATGCATGGCTGAAGTGCGCTCTAGCTAGAATTGTAGTTAGCAAATGGGTATGGTTTTTTTACGAGGATAAAATAAACAACTGTTACGGAATATTTAAACAAAAGAATATGAACTATGCAAAACGATAATCCGGGTATCAGAACTTGGCTGTTTTGAAAACGCCTTCAAATGCGGCGTGATACCTCACGCATTCCGGAGAGTTCAAATAGTTGGATCATTGCGCCTTAGAAATGCGACGGAAGATTACAATTGAAATAGCCTTCATTCACACTGGCCTTAAGAAATGTAATATTTTTTAGAGCGAGCTGGCATCATGTGATACTTAAAAATTAATTTTACAATTTCTTCCCATCATTTTTAGTAGTATCTATTTGTGTCTGTGCACAATGCCTTGAAAATTGGAGGTGAATTTGTGAACCCTGAATCAAAGTCAAATGAAAGCCCAAAAATACCTGAGAAATGACCAAATTTTCCTAGAAAATCGTGATTTCCGTCCGAACGGGCAACATCGGGCAGATGAACCGTTGATTTTCTGAAAGTACACATACCACTGAATAAATCCACGTGCACAAAATTTCGGTGTTTGACGGTGCTTTTTTTTGGCACTCCATGAAAGTGGAAAAAAGGGTTAAAAATGAGAAGTATTTCAAAATGCAATATTCGCGACAAAAAAAAGGATTTAAAAATTGGAAAAACCAAAAATAAATAGTGCTGACCAGTAGGAATGAAGCTGCCAAAAAGGATAGAATGGCACTGAAGCCTGTTGATCAGGATGCTCCTCATTGTTGTCATCTGCAATCGGCTTCTAATCAGGAGCTCTGAACTGGCTGAAAACGACCACCTGTGCGGGCATCGATAAAAATCGATACTATTGGTGACAATAGTGTTGCCAGATATACCACTTAACGTTCACCACATAATTTTTGGAAAATTTCGGCTTTCATGTTTAGGGGGGATTATTGTCACCATTCAACGCACTGTGCGTCGCATTGATAGGCGTCAACCAAAACTGGTCGGCAAATATTAAGCATGTTTGCAGCCCTTCTTCAGTACATGTACTAAAGATTCAGTTCCTAAAAATCCAAAAAGAATGCAGTATTTTTTCGATGCCTTTAAGTTGATTGTTAAATTGAGTTCATAATATTTTGTTATATTTCTTCCTGCGCTTGTTTATTTTTAATCCTTCTAAAAATTGATCGAATTGCGTTATGTAATCCTAGCTTGAACACTTTAAGTCCTCGCGGTCAAAACTGCAACAGCGGTAAAGGAACACTGACAGGGCCGCAGCGTTAAGGCTGATTTAATATCAGTCTTCCATCGCATTGCTAAGGCGCAGTGATACAACTATACGTACTCTCCGGAACGCGTGAGGTATCACGCCACAGTTGAAGGCGTTTTCGAAACTGCCAACTTTCCATGTTGGAATTCTTTTGTCTAATAGATACCATAATATAACTGGGCGGCAAATATTAAGCTCTTTTGCAACCCTTCTTCAGTACATCTACAAAAAATTCATTCTCTCACAAGGAAAAACATCAGTCCTTTTTTGGTACCTGTATGTGACGAAATTCGAAAATTGACGAAATTCATGCGAAATTGCGAGAAAAATGACGAAGGCAGGAAATTTGAAGCTCATCGGTGACCTGAGGATTAAGTGGCTTTACAATCTGGATGTAGGAGGAAAATACGTCATTAAGAATCATTGCGTATCCGATTTCATATTTTCTAGGCCGTTTTAAAAACACCTGTGCCATGAGGCAAAAAATTCCAGCCCTTCATAGAGAACTACTGTACTTTTTCGGTACTTCAAAACCGCCCTTAAATTTACTGCTAATTCCGGACTTTCCATATCAGTAGATACGTTGTTTGAAGACTTGAAAAGCAAAAAACAAATCCCTTGATAAAAAGAAGTCATCGCTTTTGAAATCTGTCGATGTGGGCTTTGGCCCATGTGGCTTTTCCTTGAAACTGGCTCGAACTGACCTTAATGTCAAGTTATCCAATTAGAAATCATAGATTAGATGAAGAATTTTTTTCATTTTAAAATCGTACGTGAAGTTGAATTAAATAGGAAAATGATAGCTGGAAATAGGATATTTAAATTATATTTTGTCTTATTCAAAAATCATTCTCTTAGACACGGTTTTCTTTTGAATAGGTTACTAAATGTTTAAAATGTGATTGATAACCTTTACCTTACTGGAAAATAAGAGGAAAAGAACACAAACAATTTTAATAAATGTAATGGTGACTTTCCGCTACTATGTAGTTTTATTTATTTGATAAAGTATCTGAAAATTTAACTCCAAAAACGGCCGTATCAAAATTACATTCACAGTCGACTGATTTTTTAAAAATACATAACAAATAACTAACGAAAAAAAGGAGTTAAGGAACCGAATATTACAAAAATATATGATTGACTAATTTAAGAATGTAACCTAGGAGGCAGTAAAAATTACAAAATGGAAGTTCTGAGAGTAAGGAATAGATTGTGAGCATTTGAATTGATTTTATAAAAAATCACAGATTCAGTTACCTAAATAAGTAAAACAATACACTTCAAGATTCTTCAAAACTGCCGTATTAAAAATAAAAAAAAAATTGGAATACACAACAGCAGATAAAAGTAAATACTTAAAACTTGGATGGATGTGTTAAAAAATGAGAGGGCAAAGTTGGTAGGCGGATACACGATATAAAGTCACAAGCAAATGAAGATTAAGCAGATGACACCTTATAGTAAGTCCTCCACAGATTGTTTCCTAATGATTACAGCAGGTAATTTTCTGCGAGCGCTAGAATTGGAGCTCCGGTTGGATCATACGGGAAATCGCCAGCACTTCCAGCAATGTCCAAATGCGAGTATTTCAATGGAGTTTCGGCTTTTAAACCGTGCTGATAGAATAAAACAGAGAACATTTTTTAAATAAATAATAGGCCACACACAGAAATGAGAGTGATACAGGGTTGCAACAAAATTTAAGAAATGAATTTACACGTTTTGGTGCATATTTTCCTGTCAATTGAAGATATGCTTTCAGATGATTAAAGACATAATTTGAAATATTCACAAAACGAAATTTGTTTTCTGAAACGTCAAACCCACCCTAGGAAGCAAGTAAAGGTGACTTAACAGTTTTCCCCTGACACTTTCATCAATTTCTCTGTATTTTCCAGGTTTTCTCTAACTTTTTAGAATTCTCAGAAATTCCCTGCTTTTCCTGGTGTTCCCTGGCTGTAGAAACCATGGACTGATGTGATATCGTTTCACTTCCTTCTTCTTGATATTGTATGATATTTTAGACAATTTAAAAAAATAGATTGTATGTATACCTACTTTCTTCAAAATATGGATCTAACAATATGCAGTGATTTCTGGTTGACAGAAATAAAAGGATATTAAAGTAGAATAATAAGAAAGTACTTAAAAAGACAATTAAGAAAATACATAGTTTTTCATTCTAATTTAAAGGAAAATGAGTCATTGACACCCACTTTTTTTTAAGAAAAAAATTCATTTTCTGAAAGTACAAACGGAGTTAACTAAGTTTCTAGGATTTTTGCTGATAGAATTTCAAATACAAAGTTTATGAATGCATACCTCTTGAAGGCCGGATGCCATTATTAGAAATGCAGCAGGGCCTTGATGTCCACGGCATGTTTGAACAGATGGTTTACTATGAGCTTGCAAGATTTCGGAGTATTCGTGACTCTCTGAAAAACGATCGGAATAAAATTAATGGGACTCACAAAACAAGTATGATAAGGAGTGAACAATTTATCAGTTTCCTAACTTGTTTGCAACATCCATAAATTAAAGGACTTTTGAATCTAGACAGTAAAAAAACCGAACCAAACTTTAGAACCAGCCAAAATATTGGGTTCCGTTTATCAAGATATTACAAAATGACCGATTGCAATGATTTGAACCCCATAAAATTGCCGTCAATGGACATGACAAGGAAAGAATTAGACTTCTAAAGGACACATTTCCTCATCAAAATTTTATGCAAAACACATTGAATGTATCAAAAATTTCCAAAATTAACTCAATAATAGGGCTGTGCGAATATTCGCAATTACGACTATTCGCTTCGTCTGCCTCGCGCACTATTCGCAAATTGCGAATAATCGCGCCGTCGGGAATAGTGAATTTTGGAACTGACATTTTCAAATATTCGCGCCGTCACGAGGAGTGAATTTTCAAATATTTGCGCCATCAAAAATAACGAATTTCCGAGTGACAATCGTGAAACGTTGCGAGGATCTGCGCAAGGCTTCCGCTTCCACCCGAGACATCGCGAACGGCGGATCTCCTTTGATCTTTACCGACTTTGCCGAGTTTACGAACAGCGAGCGCGATTGCGATTGGGGGAATAAGCAAAGAGCCCAAATCAAGGACTGAAAGACACAGAAATTTCTGAAATTGAAAAAAAAAAGTTCATAAACACATTTTTATTTAAAGCGAAAAAATTAAAATACTAAAATGTGTCTAGTGATCTTTCGATACTAGCTTGACTTCCCGCGCAGTTACCTTCAAATCCTGGAAATGCATACGTAACTGCAGGGACAGTCAAGCCAGCATCCAGGGATCTTCGAACAAGCTCTTAACAGCCTAGGCTACTATCATAGCATTTCATTGTCTTCTGTGCAGGCGTATGAGCAAATGAAAAATTCTTAAAAATTAGTCACATTTTTTTTGTCAAATTTTGTAATATTCGCGAATTTTCACTCTTAAAAAAGTCATTTCCGATTATTCGTTTTACTATTCGTATCTGTGAATAATTGACTTAAATTATTCGTTATTTGCTTTGCTATTCGCGAATAGTTGCCGAAATTATTCGCTATTCGCTTCGTTCGGAAAATTCACTATTCGCACAGCCCTACTCAATAATGAAAAATTAACGCTTAAATAGTACGTAAAAATTAGCCATTGAAAACAATTCATACCTGCGACAATTAACTTGAGCTTCATCTCATACCTTTTAAGCGCTCAGCCGATAGACAGCGCTTTTTGATTTCGACTTGCCTCTAGAGTACTAGTATACTAGTGCTAATTCGTTTAAATGGCGCACCAGCTCATCGATGTGTAGGCTTTTTGGGGGGGTCCATTTTTAAAATAAATAAAGCTGTGAAAACTGTATTTTATGCTTTTAACGTAATGCGCAGGTAGTTTCGATCGTTTGTCTATAAGAAAATTTCTTAGCGGTAGAGTAATTCTTATCAAAATTGATCGTTGAACTCAAATGAAGCCTAAAAAAAACGCGCCTGATGAGCTCAATGGTGGCTATATTTTCGGGAAACGAAAATACGCATTTACGGTTTCTTTGGTAACCTTTGTTTGCTATCAGCTAATGTTTTATTTCCTTACCCAGCCAAGTCGACGAAGTTTATACTTCCTTTCTTCACTAAATACATTGACTAACACCTGAGCGCTTTTCTAATACGACGGTATTAGAACTTTTCCGCTTGTTTTTCTTCTCATTTGATACGTGGCATATCTAAATTTGTGTAATATGTAAAAAAAGTCACTACAGAAGAAAATTCTTCCATCGTAAAACATACCAAAAGTAGTTCAGCGTCTGATTTGACTACAGTAGACTAGGGTTTATCAAAAGTGAGAAGTGTGAACTGACATAAAAAAAAAAAAAAAAACACTAGTTCATGAATTGATTTCGGATGGCTGTAGTGCAGGCATTGAATTCTGTGTAAAATTCTGATACGGTAAAGTGTCTAATTTCATACCACCTATCTGGTAGTCCATTTTCCATACATTCATTTGTGACATTCATAATAAAATAAAACATAAAAACAAGCCGCGTTGCTTGCACCATTGGTACCTTTATGGGATGAGAAATCTTCACGTTGCAGAGTGCTCGACTCGAAAGGATCTCCAATTTTCTGCCCACTTTCAACCAGCTGGGAGTTTATTTTACCTTCTCTTGCAGGTCCATTACACATGACAATCTGTAGCAGAGTAGAAAATAAATATTATTATGTGTCCTTACCACCTTCCTTCAGAGAATATGAAGCACAAATTTGCAATAAGAGAAACAGCAGATATTCTGAAAAGTTTGGAAGTTTTAAAGGGTTCTGTGAAAAACTTGAAAGAATGTTTTGAGAGGAATTTTTTTCAAAAGATCAATAGATTCTTATACATATATGTAATGAACCACTAGACAAGATGCGACTCTAAACATTTTTATATCTGTTTTCTCATCAAAATTGCATGTAGAACAAGATTCATGCGACAAAAATTACTGAAATTTTGAGGAGGGAACATACACCAGAATGAATAAATTCGTACTTTGTCGGGTGGTTCATTCTAGGGTTTCTTGATAAACAGTACATCAGGAGTTTCAGTCCAGTTGTGTACTTTTCATTTGAGCTCACATTTTCAGTTGCAGTTTGATATGAGTACAAGTAGACAAAAATATACAAAAAAATATCTCCTTGCTTTTACTTGAAGAAAGGGAGAGAGACAGAAGGTAAATATAATTACTCACTGAGTAGCATTGAGCGTAGAGCCACGCATGTCCTGTTAGTGTTGCAATTGTATATAGATGAGGGTCTGGAAGACAACTGGCCAACTCTTTTGCCTGGATTTTAAAAGCAACAATGTATGATTATTGTAATAGGAAGTAGAAGGTGTTGGAAAATAGCATTTTATGATATACACAAGTTTAAAATACAGCTGTCACAACTGAAAAATATTGACTGGATTTTTTTTTGTAATTTGAAGGTAACACAGTTAGAAATAAAATAATGCATATTAAGAGGTAGGTCATTTCCTCCTTATTAAACTTCTGTACCTATCAGAGCTTCCCCTGGAAATTGTAACTATTGAATCCAGACTTTCAACCATAATCTCCCTTTCAGGCAGGCATGACTCGGTGTAAATATTGTTAATTCTATTTAAATGTAAAAATAGTTTAGAATTCTTAATTTTTACAAAGTTATCGAACTCCTTACTTGCACATCTTGCCGTGACATCAGGTATTTTGGACAAGTAGGAATTTTTTTGTTGACAGATCCAAAATTTAGTGATGAGGCAAAAATGCTGGATCCCAACAAACAGTCAGAAACTTTTTGCATCCCTGTCTATTTATCCTTCAAAAATGTTTAACTTCCTTCCAGTGATCAAGACGCATCTTAAATAAAGATATATAAGAGCAGTATTGTGTTTTAAACTGGATTTCCAACAACACAAAAGCCCTAAGTTAAGTATCTAATTTTTTAATTTATAATTGTGACGAAACCGAAAGTAACGAAAAAACACAAACAGAACCTAAGGTAACAAACTTTTTTGTGAGTTTGAGTTTTTTTAAATACGGTTTTCTTTCTTTCATTTACATTTGTGATTTACTTTATGACAGAAACAAAGCAAATCCACACTCTTGAAATTGCTCTTGTCGAATGTTGAATGTGATCTGTTTAAAGAGAATTGTTCGAAAGAGATTTTACCTCGCATAAGACATCTGCCATAGCCATTCGACCCTCAGCATCAGTGTTTCCGATACGGACCCTTTTGCCAGCACGGGAGACAATCACCTCATCTGCAGTGTATGCATTTGATCCAATGCTATTGCGCACAAGACACAAAGCACCAATGATCTCAACATCAGCCGGTGCTAGAATGCTTACCAACTGAAACACCAAGACATTTTTAATTATATACGTAATTTATGTAGAAAATATTTACTGAAAAAAAAAAAAACTATCATCTACTAACTAACTATAAAACTATACTAACTATAAAACTAACTATCAAAAAAAAACTATCATCTACTAACTAACTATAAAACTATAAAACTATAAAAAAATAACTATCATCCAACAAACTTCAGGCATAAGTAGAGGTATTAATCTGTCATCGGTTTTTTATCCACTACTTTGAAGTTTCGATAGATTAAGAAAACTTTAAGAACAATTTCTTCAAATTTAAATTTTAAAACACAAAAACCAAAATTTCATCAACCCGCTTTGTCCAAAAAAAATAAAAAAAACAAGGATATTCTGAAGAGAAATTGAAAGGGCTTGTGCAATGTCTGCTTATTCGTGATTTGGCTGGGAGACAAGGATTTTTCGTGAGTCATTTTGCGATTGCAAAATGGGGAATGATTGCTCACAGAAACTCTTTTGATCCTATTCCTTTTAAATCTCTTTGCACAAGTGTAGATGCTATGAAGAATTCAGTTAAAAGAAATCACCCCAGTATTATTAGGGTTTTAAATAGAAATTATCTTAATTAAAAATGCTTATACTATCAGCAAAAGTTTGAGCAATTGCTTACGTTGCAGATTTTTGTTTTGAGCATACAGAACTATGGTTTCTCGCCTATTTCATGAGGAAGAAGTGATGAGGAAATACAAACCTGCATGAATCCCGCAACAGCAGCTGCTCCACACTTGTCTCGTGACATTCCAACAGATGCTCCGTTGATTTTGACATCCACACCGCCTGTGTCAAATGTTACCCCCTTTCCAACCAGAACAATGGAGCGTTTTACTTCTCCACTTTTTGGTTTATATTTCAGCCATACTACCCTTCCTCTGTGCCTTTCAACACCTGAAAAAAGAAGCAAAAACAGTATTTAAAAATACCATCCTGTTGGCACAGCGTGAACTAGTGATAATGGTCTTCAATTATTGTGAGAGGACTCAATCTTAATAATAGCATACCTCTGAATTTTTTGACTTTTTAAAATTTTGACAAAGTGTGGTTAAATTAATTGTTTTACTTGTCTATAAAGGCAAAAGAGTTGTGACCGGATGTGTGAAAAGGGCCCGCCTCTTCTGGGAGGATATTTTCCATAATCTTTTTTTCATTTGCATCAAGGAAGACAATTCGGAAAATTTAGTGCAAGTTTTTTGACCCTATAAGCCAAAAATTGAAGTGGATGTGAGTTCTGAAGTTCCAAGACAAAAGTTCTTAGGCTGTAGAAAATTCCAACTTAAAATCTGTAGAAAAATGTGGTTTCAGCTTTTGCAAAAAGTTGAAAAAAAAATTTTCCTGGAAGATAAGGTCCCTTTTTGATCCCTGGGAACCTTGAAGGAAAAACTGTTTCTGACTCGTTCATAAAAACACATAACTGCAAGGAGAACTGATGACACATATGCTGTTTCTAAATATGAGCCAAAAATAGTGATTCCTTTCGGCAAAATATAATCCAATTAAAACAGTAGGATCACACTTTTTAGGGATTTAAAGAGAGCCTGGGTGCCTATTTTGACTCCTTCCCCTCTTCTCTACCCTGGAATAATCACCTTGCAGCACTAGACACACTGAATCCCAATTTGTAAACAGTTCAATGCCAGAGCCGACAAATATAAATAGTCCGCTTAAGCAAAGTTCTTAGAAAATTTCGGGTTGTTTCGGCCTTGACAGAAAACAATGTGGAGCCTCTGGGAAACCCATTTACGTCAAATCGGCCAACTTTCCACGAAAAGGCGCCGTGGGTGAGAATTCGACGCGGCTTTTTTAAGTAGGTGATGTGAAAGAGAGCTCCTAATCAGGCTAATTTCAGTTCAGGGTAATAAACCAAGATAGCGGCCGATCGGGGTCAAAAGTCACGCTATCTCGGACATTTTCCGCGGATCTTGTTTACTTGCATCGAGGAGATGATAAAAGTTTGGTCTTCTCGCACGGTGACTTTTAGTCGGCATCAAAACACTCGCCAACTCGTCCACTCGCGGTTTTTTCGGTGAGACAAGTGACATATACGTGAACGTGCCGGGAATCGAAGAAGAAACGCGAAAATGGCGACTCGCAATCCTACAGGTGAGCCTACAAATATTTTCATTTTCGTGAATCTTCAGCGATTTATAGTGAGAAATTTTTTCGCAAAGGGGGCGCTCTCTGCTGTAATATCGTCAGCTTCTGGCCAAAGTTTCACAAGTGCCATGCAACGTTTAAAAATTTCCACCACCATGTTATTTTTTTCAGAGAAATTGTTCAATAAAGCTGTCCTAAAATTTCACTGAATTTTTGTTGCATTGCCGATAAAGTTCAGTGAAATTTTCAAATGGATTCAACCAACGATTTCTCTGTACGAAATAAAATGGTGGAGGAAATTTTGAAACGTTGCATGGTGCTTGTGACACTTTGGCCGGAAGGTGATGATATGATTTTTGTGATCATGTTGTTGGAGTTCGTACAGCTTACCATGAGCTGAAGCTTTGAGTAAGAAGGGGAATGGACCCCTCGGCAAGCTACAAATTCCAGGCTTCTGATACATGATGCCTAGTCAAAATTTCACACAGAACACAATTCACCGAACACAACGGAAAATTACTAACAAGGACCAGAGGACAAAAAGTTGATGTTTTACTGTGCATTCCACATAGTTGGCGATCCGCGGCAACAAATGATTTTACAATTTATACCCATTTTACATAGAGTGATGGCTTATTGCTGCCAGATTGTGCTGAAGAATCATCATTATTCCCCATTTAAACCCATGTTATATAACTCACTTTAATGGCACAACCTGCCAACTTTATGATGGCTTATTTCATTCTTCTTCTTTTTTTTTGGGGGGGGGGGAGTAATTAGAGGAAAGCTTCCTTACCACAATTTTTAAATTTGAAGCAGCAAACAAAATTTTGACAGTTTACACAATTTCCAAAAGGTGTGGAAACAGAGACGGAAAATTTGTAGAGGGCTTCCACAATTTTTAAAGGAGCAACAATCTCAATTTTTGCACTACCCAGAAAAAAAGGAAAACAATTGAGGGCTTTCCATAAAAATAACGGTCCCAGGATCAAGTGATCTAGGTTATTATCGACTCCTGTGGTGGACAAGGTACGGATTGAAACATTTTGATACATGTTTCTTAAAACCAAAAACTCACAGAGAAAACTATCCACGCAGTAAAAATTACTGAAACCAACTCCTGATTTTATTACACATTGGTTATAGAAAATTTGAATTCTCTGCTCACAAGAAAAACAATACTCTACGTGAGTCAATTTGCGCACTTCAGCAGTTTAGATAGGCGTTTCAATCATGCATTTTTTCTTTTTTATCCTATGTTATTCAAAGTGTAAAAAACTTGTTATAGCTGAGCCAAAGCATCAAGATTGAGGTTGCTGTAATTTCATATCACAGAGACTGTCTCAGTAACTCTTAGTGTGCGATTTAACTCAAGTAGATTATTGTTTGGTCCATGAGCAGGAAATTTGAATCTATGCATAGTAAAAGTTAGAACCTGGGATAGGAGTTGATTTCAGTAATTTTCGTTTCGCTAATCTTTTTCAATGTGAAATTTCGGGTAAGACAGATTTTTTGAATTCGTGACTTGTAAACTGGTCTGTTCACTCCTGACTTTGAATCAAACTTCCCACTCATGAAAAAATTAAAAAAAAACAAAAGTTTATGTGAGTCAAATCAAGCATAAAAAGTTACAATAACAGTCACTGTGGTATGAAAATATGTCTACCTGAATTACAGTGCTTCGGCTCAGCTATTGCACGTTTTTACCCCAAAGTGTTACATTCCCGAACCCCCAAGACCTCTTTACTAAGAATGTCGCATACCACTACTGACTATTTGGATCGAATTTAGCAAAAAAGAACCAGGGCACTTACAGTGTTTTCAAAATGGAGCAACTTTTCCTTTCATTTTAAAAAGACTTAATTATGCACAGTAATCAAAATTCTCACAATTACTTTCCTTTGATAAAATTAACAATTTTTTAGTGGGAGGCCAATACTATTTGCTGTTCTTGGAGATTTTTTAGATAACTATGAAGAAGCAAAATTTTTACAACCCTGTTATTGCGCTGGAGTCTTTTTGCTAAATGCGATCTATTTGAACCTGGTAAGCAAAAATTGTTCTTACCGCTAGCTCCTCGGTTAACAGCAGCGAACAGAGGGTACTCTTTCTGAAGTTCATCGACATCACTAACAACACGGATTTCAACATTAGACTTGTCAAATACCTGCTGAACGTAGGCCTCAGCAGCAGCTGGGGTCATTCTTTCGGGATCTCCCACTCCAATATCTCTTGCCACCCATCTAAAAAATGGAAAGTTGTTAAAGAGGGACAATTCATTCCAAAAATATTGGATTGATATAAAACACAGTAGGCTAATGATTAAAAGGAAAAAGAAGAAAAATACAACTTGGTAGAAAAAAAGAAAAACAGAAAAGCCCTAGTATGTAAGTGTTGAGAATTATCTTCTTCGTCTTCCACTAATCCCTTAGGCACAGTCCTGAAGGTAACTTAGAGAGGGCCCCCAAAATTAATTGAACGAAATGAAGGCTAATTTGCAACATTCGCACGAATTAGTTGATACTATTTCATGGGAAAATTTTAAGCAACCAAGCATTTTTTAGAGAAAATGTCTTAGAATGCTTTAAAAGAGTATGAGATGAATTGCGTACCAAATTAATTTTCTATGGTGCCTTAACCCCCTTACAATCGACCATATTTTGCTTCTTGCCCAAAAACCTATGCTACATGCATCAAAATTCAAAATTCCCTCCCTCATAACATCCATACTTGAAGCTCAGATGATCCAATAGTAGTCACCGAAATTTTCAAACCCTTTAAGCAATTAAATTTAAAAATTTAAGGTTTCCTGTTCCCCGGCGTAAATAGCCTGGTTGCTGATTGTCGTAAATTGAGTAACTAACTGATTAAATTGACTTAAAAAATTTCAATTATTTTTTTATGATAAAAATATAAATTAACATAATGATTAAATTACCTGGCGCTTTCTAAAGCCTTGGCTGTCTCCACTATCCCTTTTATTTCAGGAGAGGTACTTGGATTAAAAATAGCTAGCTTCGTAAGTTTTGGAAATTTATTGGGTTCATGCTCTCTGAACTGAATACCCTGTGAACAAATAAAAGGAAAGAAATTGGTTTTGACGATAAGAAAAATCTACTGATATGAAACAATTAAAAAAATTGAAAAAAAGACATATCGACGGTGAAACTACCAGACCACGCATCTCATTTACGGCGGTTAAAAATCTCCGCTCCCATTTTATTTTTTGAGAAAGCAAAAATCAATATAATTTCTTGAAATTTTTAGAGTTTTTTCGCTTAAAGAGGAAAAAAACACTAAAGTTTGCAAGAATTGACGTTGAGTAGTTCTCCATTTAAAAAATAAAATTTGACAGGAAGTTTACGAGGTCGCAAAGCGAGATATGTGGTATGGTAGTTTCACCGTCGATATTTCATTTCAATACTGAATAATAAATGAAATAAAACAAACTTGACTTTGATGTTTGAACTTTGATTAGATTTCACAATAAACTTTAGAAGTTTTGGATTCCTCCCTTAATACTGAAAAGTGAACTAACTATAAAATATAAAACATGGAAGAACAATATTTTGAAGGATCTGATGGTTAGGAATAATTTTTAAACCCACAGATGAACAAAAAAAATAATAATAAAAAGAAAAAAACTTTAACGAAAGTGACCCAATGGTTTCATCACAGTAAATTGTCCTAGTATGAATTCAAATGGAATGGAGAGGAATAATTTTTTTCGCGACATTTCTAATAACTCGCTTCCTCATTTATTCCTGAAATGGTGACTGATGAACAATAACTTGGAGCAGTCGTTCTGAATAGAATATGCAGGGTTGCCACAGAATTTAGAAATAAAATTCCCTGACATTTCCCGGTTTTCCCTGACTGTGGCAACCCTGAAAATGGCTTGAAAATTTCCTAAAGAGCTAGCCACCTTCGTCCCAATAATCCCTTGCTTAAAATATTTGTTGTGGTATCCTACCTAAAATAATTTTACTTGAAACAGCAAAGTACTTGCATACGTAGTTAAGCTGAGCACCAAGAGCTATTTGATTACATAAAATGAGAGCTAGTTGCTTATTTTCCAGTAAGATGGATGAGACATGCGACACATTGACCGATCAGATGCTCAGAACTTGTGTCAAAACATTAATTAAGGCTGACAAATCACTCGCTTGTAATAAGATAATGACTCTTAAATGCCAGATCAAAATGATCGATAATTGGTTCCTTCTTAGTCTTGCCTGGTAACCAACTTAACGGGTCATATAAGATAGAGAGAGGTTAAATCCTTAGAATAAGAAAAATAAATTGTTCAATACATTACCATCCATAGAAATAGGGATTTTGGAACATAATGGGAAAGTTTTTAGGGGAACAGTTTACATCAAGTTACATTGGAAAATAAGTACTGAGTTTTCAACATAATGCTCTCTCTATATCCCTGAGAAAAATTTCAGGAGGCAGTTTAGTTAATGTTTGTGCCGAAAAAGGGAATAGAGTTCCATCATAGTTTAACAAGTTTGAATTACACCATTAAAAACAATTTTTACCGTAAATGGCTCTGGTTTGACGTTTGTGGGCAGTACTGGGTGTAGCTTTTCATAAAACTCGCCTCTGAACAGATAAGGCGCCAATCTCTTCAGTTCTAGTTCCTTAGAACCAATGCTTTTGTTCCATTGACAGTCACAGATATTACTTCAAGATTCTCCTAGGTTGGAGAACGATACAAAATAATCATATCACGGTAAAAATAGAGTAACTGAAAATCCTTACACTATAAAGAGCTGACAAGGCACCCAACAGAGAGACTAATTGACATTTTGGGAAATCAGGATGCTGTGGTAAGATTAAAAGTGGCTTTGTGACTCCTGCTGAAAGGGCTCTGCAACAAAAATTTTACAGATTACAACATGGTGAATAGGTTGCAAGTAATCAGGAAACATTAAAACCTATTTGCAATAACTGATTGAAAAGTTTCAAAATACTTGAATGGTGGAATTAGGATGGAATGCTGTCATACTAAGGGAAAGCACTGTATGTACCTTCCAACATTGTCACAAGTCCATCATTACAGATATTTTCTGAAAAACTTATGAATAATTGTCCTCCAATTTTTCAGCAAATTTTATCGGCAATTTAAAGGAAAAATATTTGTCATTTCTTTCGAAAATTAAAAAATTCAGCTTTTCCTTAATGCAACAAAATCAGTAGATCAGTTAACTAAGCTGCTAAAGAAAATTGGAGTACTGAGTAGAATACTTCCAGCTTTGATGAAGTTTGTACCTTTTTATTCCATGAGCAGCTGCTTCGTGGAAAGAACGAACATCATCATAGTCACCGAGAGTTCCAACCGGGGAGTAAACCAGTCGTCGGGATGGAAGGGTTGTTTGAAAAACACCACCTTGATCATCTACTGTCCGGTCAATCTGAAAACAGACGAGGAAAAAATATAATGGAGTTTATTACTTTTATCTACTTACAATAAAAATGTGATAAACTTATTCTTTAAAAGGCACAAAACACATCCTTCAGTTTAAAAGTAGAATTTGAACCCGCAGTAATGTTGTAACTGATAAATTTTGAAATTGTCTTACTCATACGCAGTCATCAACTTTCACCGGTGTAGTTTTTTCAATTTTGACACCTCTCAGCTACTGTATTTTAGAAGATTCATTTTAAATTTTTTCACTGAATGAAAACCAAATTCTTTTAGGTATTTTCAATTCACAGGAAGAGAGTTAGCTGTTTTTTCTTTGTTTTTAGTCTTTTTACGGACTCATTTCACCTCCAATTGAACAAACAAAAAAAAACCCGACACCTTACACAAAAAGTAGTAAAAAACAGTATGATGGCAGTTGTGATCAGAGACCGATGTTTGTTTGTGAAGAAAAAAGATGGGCGTTGTCCAGCAGCAATCTGAAAATTCATTAGTAGGTACATAAAATCAAGCAGTCCAGAAAGTATGGAATTGAAAATTTTTTTTAAAGACCGTCCAACATCATCCAAGAAACCACCATTTTAACCGTCTGTGGCAAATTTTTCTCTCCTTTTAAAAGATGTAGACATAAATAGAATATGATATTGTGTTGCTTCAGTGCACCGTTTCTGCAACAATCTTACAGCTCTTGGAGATTATTATTCCTTTTAGAGTGTTCTCAGCTTTGACTATGGAGACAATGAAATTAAAATCAAGACAATGAAAGTTTTATCTTACACAAAATTTAGCAAAAATTTCAATGAAAACTACGTAAGTAATAATCACCTCAACGGCAACATCCAAAACATTGTTCAGGCTTTCTAGTTCTTTGACAACTGAGCATGTTGATGAAACGCGGGATAGAAGAATGATGCCATTGTAACTTTCTGATTGCAAGTTATCCTCCAGAATAATTTCATACGGTAATCTGTGAAAAAAACAAAAAAACAAAAAATAAAAATAAAAATAAATTTCCTGAGCATTTGATTGTATCCCGCACTTCAAAAAGCTGCATGTTACGAGCGTACATGTTGGCCGCACTTACAATTCAGAAATGTTTGGTGGGGAATGGCAGCAGTGGCTGCGTTGGGTACTACAGTTTTTATTTTACAATATCTCTTCGGGAAAAAAAGAGGGTACGAAGATATAAGAAGTAGGAAATATTAGAAAATATAAAATATGAAAGAGTGGATATTTTGAGACAGTCATCTTCTCAGCGAAGACATCATACTCGTAATTCTAATAAATTATAAAAAAAATAATAATAATTATAATAATTTGCCGCCCAGTACACCTGTGCACTTAATGCACTTGCCTAATCTGGCTCTGGTAATACGAGTTGTCGCATGCATGCAACGCTCTTAGTTTTTCATCCATCCTTTTTTTACCCATTTCTTCCATCTCTCTCTTAAATTCTCAGTTTTCAACTTTTCAGGCCTTGAGCCGCTTTTTACAACTTATCAGAACAACCATCTAATTAATCTAATCAGTGTAACGACAAGCGGATGCAATGCGAACCTAGGGGCTGGAGAGATTTAATCTCTGTTCGCATTGCATCAGCTTGTCGTTACACTGATTAGATTGATTAGATGGTTGTTCTGATAAGTTGAAAAAAGCGGCTTAAGGCCTGAAAAGTTGAAAACTGAGAATTTAAGAGAGAGATGGAAGAAATGGGTAAGAAAAGGATGGATGAAAAACTTAGAGCGTTGCATGGATGCGACACGAGTGTCGGCAAGTACAAACAAAATTAGCTATTCAGCCATACCTAATTGGAACTTAACTAGGTTGTTAGTCACTACATTGATTCCATGCAAATGATTTAAACAACCATAATCAATGTCTAGACTTCTTTCGCTTTTTTTTGGTAAAGTATTTATGATTTCTGCAAGGTTATCAAGAAGAAGTGAAATTTGAGAACATAATTATAAGTACTTGATAAGAAATGGTCTTATTTAAGATTTGTTTTTCATATCTTTTTCGCTAATTTCTTAGTTTTCAACCTTGTAGAGAAAGTGAGAGGCGAGATTGAGTTTCTATCAAGCTGCTGCTAGGGAAAAAATACTCGCATGAGAGACAGCAAGATAAGGGGTTATCTGAAGTTGAAAAGATAAATACAATTCTGCGAAGCACATGTGAATATTGCCAACTAAGATAGAAGATGAATGGACGAATGCAGGATATGAAAAGAGGAAACTCACTTGTTATTAACCGATGGAATGAAATCGGTCTTCCCTGGTTTACCATCAAGAGTCATCCTATAACAATCAGCAAGCTAAAAATTACAAATTGAGTGAAACTGTGCGAAAGGATTTATTGCATAAAATTTAACGCCAAAAAATTCCGTTTCCAATACGAGAGATTCTGCACAGACTTTTTAGTATTATTCGATGTAATTTTCCTTACAACAATCAGAGCATGATGAGCTTTTAAAATTAAACCCAAGTAGGTACTACGTGCCTATCTCAAGGAAACCAGGGCTGAAAATTGAATTTTTTTGCCACCTTACATGCGATTTCAAGATGAGATGTGCTGTGACTAAACATCGAAGGAAGCCATTCAGTAGATACCTTTGATTTAAACCTATACAGGGTGATCCAGGGTTAACTGGCCAGACTACAGGAGCGTGTTCTAAGTATGGGTAAAACAAAACACTTTTTTGTTGTATCAAGTTTTTCCAAAAGTGCCCCCAGTCGGACCTAATGTTCCCCCAAAATTTCGGAGAGTAAATCGTTTTTCCTGAATTTTGGCAACGGTTGGGAACCAAATTCCATGAAAATTTGAACTCTCCTATACTTTGACGCCCTGAATTTATACCTAAATGATAAAAAAAATCAAAATCTCAATTTACAGAGAGGGTTTGGGGGTGTTTCGGCTCCTGCAGTCTGGTCGTTTAACCGTGGATCACCATGTATACTTCCAAAGTTATGAGACTGCCATATGAAGAAAAAGCATGCCGCATGGTTGGTGAATGAAACACAGTGTTTCAGTTTGTCTTCATACAATTTATCAGCTTCTTTTCGGTTTACTAGTAAGAAGAGAGTACCTGTCATAGCTGTATTCAACTTCATACCATAAAGAATTCATCCTCAAATTATCAATGAAATACTTGCGTTCTGACTTTCCTCATAGAGGAAAATTTGAATGAGGAGGAATTGAAATACGGTATTCAACGAACCTTCAGTGTTTTTTCCTTAACTTTATGATGGATAAATTCACAGTTTTCTTTTTTAAGCTAAAAGGGGGATGATTTGATGATCATGCAATATTGAAACTTATGCACAGTGGCCTCTAGTGCGCCAAGCCACCCGTCTTACTGCCTCAGACCGAACAACCATTACTATGAACTGAGAAGAGCGTTGAAATATATAAAGTGGCCTGTGGATATCCAAACGCAAACTTGAAATAGCAAACAGTAACGGAGATAGAGAAATAACGTTATATTAAATTTTGAAGTTAGTTGAAGTCTGGGGTTTTGATGACGAGATTAGAAGTACGTAGGTGGGACCCAAAATTGAGGAAAAGATTAGTAAAAATTCTATTACCCAAAAATTTTGAGTATTTATTCGGCGACTGACGAAAAAACTGAAAGAAAGAAAAGCGATGGTTTTTGGAGTGAAACTTACTTGCAAGTCGGTGATGATTCGGCGTTCGAGTCAAAATCCACGAGCAAGAAAGTGATAACGTTGAAGTGCGGTGATTATTGGCGGTGATAATAAGGTACTCTATGGTGATAAGAGGCGGAAAGCTCGACGTTGTTTACAACAAAAACTTTGGACCAACTTCAACAAGGAATGGAGCAAATTGCAGTCAGATTCCTTCATTCGGCAAAGAGGCAAAGAGCATGATAAGCAAGACCAGTCCATAGAGAAAAAGACCAGTCCACACAGGTCAGTCATTGCGCATCTTTTTGAAAGCCACTTCCCCGCCCGGCCCTAACTCAGCTGCACTCAATAGTACGTCACAATGGGTGCTCCCATAAGAAATACATTGCAAGCACTCAATAGTACGTCACTGCGCAGTAGAGTACCAAAACTCGTCCACGGGAATGACTGACCTGTGTGGATTGGTCTTGATGATAAGCAACAAGTTGTCTAGTGTCTCGAAAAAAACATTTTATTTTCCTTACCTTACAGATTTTCTTTTATTGTGACCACTAGACATCATCGGAATGAGTCATGCAAGAATAATCGCAAAGTTTTGTTTATTACGTGGAGCTGCCTCATGAATGCTTTTAAAGTTTCAAGGCTGAGCGGATGCACCCACCCGGCAAAATAACTAGTTGCAAATCGTTGAAAGGAAACTTATGATCACATCGCACATCGCGCACGACGCCCACACAGTATTGTTTTTACCTTGACGTTACCTTTTTCGTAGTGGTTCACTTACTCAGGGAGTTTTCTCTTATCACAATTTCAGTTTATGTGAAAGCTTTAAATTATCTGTCACCACATTCCATCTACTTATTTGTCAGTTCCTAATAACTGTTATCAGTGTCGATCAAACCCCGGCTCATTATCATACTCGCAGCTTCCCACGAAGCTCATAGTGTAATACAATCTGTTTTTGGTGTTGATTTTCCTTCGAAGTCATAGATAACAAGAGGTCCACCGAATTTAATGTTTCTTGCATGAACGCTTCAGGTACGATTCTCTCTTTTTCTTGTCCATGTGTAATTAAACTAGTGTGAATTGCAATAGCATTCCTGGTCTGTAATGGTATAAGGCATTGTGCAGTCTCCGCAGGCGCAGGGTTGTATACATGGAGAAAATTTAGTAGAGGGCCACAGGTAACCTGTAGTAACAGTGAGTCATAATGACATCATCATCTTGACATCATACGGCTTCTTTATCAAATCATTGTAGTGTCTGTCTGATGTCACAGAGTTGTTGAGTGGTCTGACATCACTCTGATACAATCTGATGTAATAGTGATGTCATTTCGACATCCGAATAATATCATTTTGATATCACCCAGACATCACTACGTTTGGTTGAATGCCACTGTATGCTCACAGGCAAATTTGTTGTCTACATGTATTTTGATAAGTAGATATCCATGTAGAGTCCTCGCTTCATAAGTTTACAAGCTAGTAGACTGCGCCAGAAGATCTGCCATCTTGGTTCTATCATTTACTTTACATGTAAAAGAGGCGCTAGACATTCCTCTGTCTCAGTTTATAAGTGCGTAAACTTATTTTGCTAACGATTTGTTTGTAGCGCTTAAAATCTCATGATTTTTAATTTTCCATCTCTTGTTTGTTCCAGCCTGTTATTTGCTGTTGACAATCTGTCTAAATTTTCTAGTCATAATGGCAAAAGCCAATCCAACGGAAGTCAGTGATGTTGGTTTCAAAAACTTTGTCCAGAGTGTCAATGACATTGAAGCAAAACTTGGAAAGGTATGATTATTTTTTTTTTTTTTGTTACCAGAATTTTAACAACGGCATGAAAGGAGAGATTAGAAATTTGGCCCGACCGTAAGTAACAAGGTGGCCCACCATTCTGGGGAGAGTCAAGGACAACTCATCTGAATAAAGACCTAGAGTTGAAATTTTTAAATCGGATGAGAATTTTCGAAATTTTTTTGACTGTGATGTCCTTGCAGGATTGTTTGGACCTCGGACTATTCTACCACTTTGTTTTGACTACATTCATCCAAAGAATAGGGTATTAGAAAAAGAGGAAAAAATAGAATTTGGCGATCTAAAAAGCTATTGAGCAGTAGCTTTTTAGGTCCCTAAAGTCTGTTTTTCCTTCCTTTTCTAATACCCTATTCCTTGGATAAAGATAGTAAAAACAAGGTGGTAGAATAGTACTAGCTAGCACTAGCATAAATTTGACAATCGATAGGTACAAACAAAATTAGTAACTGTTGGAACTGCCACCCTGGATCCATCAGCTTGAGAATGTTTTGAAATTTAAAGTATGATCATTGAAAAAAAAAATACCTGGTTTATTTTTCTCCGTAAGGTGATTTGTCAAGCTCAAGTGACGTGGTCGAACTGGCATTCGATATATCGCATCTTTTAGGTCAAAAATCTGAACAGATTTTGAATTTTAAGCAAAAAAAATAGGATGTTAGCCCCTGTGCATGAGCCTGAAGAATCATTCTAAACCCAAAAATCGGCAAAATTCAGAGAAATAAAAGCAGGATAGTGTTTGGAAAAAAACCTCGCATTCGATACAGAAATCGATAGCTGAATCGAATGCAAGGTTTTTTTCCAAACACTATCCTGCTTTCATTTTTCTGACTTTTGCCGATTTGTGGGTTTAGCATGATTCTTCAGGCTCATGCACAGGGGCTTACATCCTATTTTTTTGCTGAAAATTCAAAATCTGCCAAAATTTTTGACCTAAAAGATGCGATATATCGCATGCCAGTTCGACCACGTCACTTGAGCTTGACGAATCACCTTAACTCCTCTTTTTTCCCACCAGCAAACTCATGTTCAACAGTGATTGGTCAGCTTAGAAAAGTTAATATATGAATTATTGAATTCTTAGACCCCTCGACAGAGTAAGAAACTATGTATGACAATACATATTTTCTCATCAAAATTTTGTACAGAACATGGTGAACTAATTAAAAATTTAGTTTAAAAAAGAGAATTAAGCTCTTGGTGATTCAAATTCTTTATTTGCCTGGAACTGAAGTCCACTTAAATCAAAAGATTTCATGAAATTCGTCCTTAAAATTTACTGACTCATTTCTGTTATTATCTATGCATGCAAAATTAAAAGACTGATGGTCTAATTCTATTCTCTTGATTTTCTAGCAACTGCACGGCAAAGATGAGAACTCTGTCATCTGCGTTCCAAGCGCTCAGATCCTCCTGGGTCTTCTGTATGCCGGTGCTGGTGGCCAAACTGCTTCTGAGCTGGAATCTCTCTTTGGAGTAGACAACAAACAACTTGAGACACTCGCTAATTTCCAAAAGTTCACTTCCCACCTAGAGGTAATCTTCCAAATGTTTGAGTCACAAATTTGTTTCCAAACTACGTGGTATATTTTTGCAATGTATACAATGAAGTAAATTGAGATGCAGAAGAATCGCATTTATCGGTTCCAACTGCTTGTTATGACCATACATAGTTTTATCGTATGAAGTTAAAGTTAAGTGACAATAATAATCAACTTCAGAATTTTGGAAAATCTTTCTCTTTTGCAAATCTCTGAAATGAGCTTTAAGAGCTGTGAGATTCAGTTTATTATCTACTTTCTCTGCTTAGAAAACGTAGCAACAGAATAAATTTTGCTTTGCACCTTGATGTTAGGCTCTAAGTATTATAAATGGATGGATTTGACAAAAATCAATGTACCTGAGTAATTACATGAGACATAGCTTAAGTTTCTCTATGTTATATTTTTGAAGCAGAAAATGAAGCAATGCCAAAGCTTGACATTTTGCAAGATTACTCTTAATAATCTGAGATAAATTTTCAGTAAGTCTTAAGGCACAAAGTAGTTTAGTTATCCAATTACGATAATAAAAAAGAAGAAACAAATATGAGAGAAAATCAAGCAGCATGAAATGCAGTTAAGCTTAGTCTGTCAACGCGTAGCTCTGTTTTATTTTTATTCTTCACTTTTACTTCACCATTATCTTGGGTCTTTCTATTTCTATATTTATAAATTTTGAAAAGAGAGGAAAAAAAACAAACAAAAAAAAGAAAGCCTCCATAAGTTTTGTATAATTTGATTATTTCTTTGCCTCAGGTTCCAGAAATTAAAATTGCCAACACAGCGTATGTTGCAAAAGACCTAGAACTCAAGAAAGAATTTGTCGAAAAAGGTCAAAAGTACTTCAATGTCACCGTCAGCCAGTTAGATTTCACAAAGAAGGCAGAAGCTGCCAAAACAATCAACTCCTGGGTAGAATCCAAAACTGAGAAGTTGATCAAGGATCTCATTAAAGCAGGTAAATACTCGAAAAATATGTCGAAAACCAAAAAGAAGAGAGTTCTTACATTGGCCGACTTGTACCAGTTCAACTGTCATTTCTTTTCCAAAACAAATGATGGTTGACCTGGTTTGCGGAAGCTAAACTAGCTGTAAAGCTGTAGGTTGTAATTGATACCTTTTGTGATATAAAATGAAATCATTATTTCGTTGGAATTTTTCAGAAAACAGAACATTGAATAATAGGGTATGAAAAGTACTTAGGCACTAAGTTTTCCCACTAAGTAGGTCCTTGAAATTAGTTTTTGTTGTTGTAGAGAAAAAATTAAATTTGCAAAGCATACTTTTTCTAAGAGCGTTTTAGAAGACACCCTTTTGAATGATGAAATACCGGAGTAGTCTTATGGATTAAAGGCCGAATTGGGCAGCTTGGAAACATCTTGGAACTGCATTCAATATTTTCCATGGGGGAGAAATTTTTCCCCTTTCTCACATTTACTTGACAGTTTTATGATCGTGAGGGAGAATTGTGATGACTAATGTCTCCTTTTTCATTTAAGTAAGCAACATTATTGTCATGGTAAGATAAAGAGGTTCTCAAAATCTTTGGAAGTACTCCTTGCTGTGCTAAGGAAAAATGCTGCATGAACATTTGAGAGTTGTCAAATTTCCTCCGAAAAAATGTTTACATTCGAGGATAGTTTCGAATATTTTCTCTTGAAATTTTCAGATAATTTAGATCTGATCTCGAGTAAAATTCCATGAAAAATTTTAAGAAAATCATTCACAGATTTTCCTGAAAATTCTAATTTCATCAAAGAAAATTTTGCATTGTCTGAAGGCTCATATCAATGGTGAAACTACTAGACCACGTACTTTGTTTGGGGTGTTCAAGAATTTCCTCTCCCATTTAATATTCTGAAGGAGAACAATCAATATAATTTTTTGAAATTTTTCCAGAGTTTTTCTGGCATAGAGAGGAAAAAATACGGAAGTTTTCAAGAATTGACGTCGAGTAGTTTTCCATTTAAAAAATAAAGTATGACAGGAAGTCTACAATGTCGCAAACTGAGATACTTGGTCTGTTAGTTTTACTGTTGATAAGTTGTTCTTCCCTACCACCGCAATTCTGGACTTTGCAGCAGGCTGAAATTTCCTAAGAGTGCAGAATTTTTTCATTGTGATGTTCAAGAAACCACTATCATCTTGCAAATTACTTTAGTTCACTCCATTGTTTTTACCCCGGAAACAATTTTCTAAAGTTTTTCATTTGATATTGATGGAAGTGTTTTGATTATTTCAGATGACCTAAGTGACGATGCAAAGCTGGTACTTTTGAATGCCATTTACTTCAAAGGCAAATGGGCACATCCTTTCAAGCACCATGATACCCGTGATGCAGACTTCTACCTCACTAAAGATAAAACAATCAAGGTCAAACAAATGGCACAAACTTCCAGATTCCAGTATGCAGAAGACGCTGATTATAAATACCTGATTATGCCTTACAAGGTAGAACATTACCCTGATTTTTATTTTTTCCGCACAATTTGTCCTTAAAAGTACTAGTTTACAATGGGCCTGTCGCAAACTTTTGCTAGAGCAAAAATAAGAGTTGTTACTCATAGAAAGTATCTCAAAAATAACGATGAGCGCATCGTCAAAGTCTGGAATGCACTTCTTACTTCACAATTTGCGTAAAAAATTTGCGTTTTTTCGAGCTTCCCGCTTCAAAAATGGTACCATGGCACAGGTGAACATTTCGTTAAAGGAGTCATTCCATCCAACCCCTGCTTAGAAGGATATTACGCAATATTCAATATAGCCAACGCCAATCCGCCAAAACACACGTGATGGGACGATGACTCTTACCACCTGATAACAATCGGCGTATTTACATTCACATTTTTCTTGCGTTGTTAGATATTTGCCTTGATTGCCTCATGCTCTCCTCAATTTGTGCGCGGGAGGGTTGGCCATGTTGAGCAGGGATTGAATGGAACGACTCCTCTAACGAAATGTTCCCCTGTGCTGTGGTATCCTTTTTGAAGCGGGAATCTTAAAAAAACGCAAATTTTTTACGCAGACAGTGAAATTAGGAGTGCATTTCAGAGTTTGCCAATGCGCCTATCGTGATTTTTGAGACATTATCTGTAAGGAACAACTCTTATTTTTGCTCTAGTAAAAGTTAGCAACAGGCCCATTTTAACATATCGCTATATATGATAATGATTTTTGGATGTCTGTGTAATCAGACATTAAGACCTCTGTTTGCAGTTAAACGCCTTTTAAGCAGGCATCTCAGTAATCAAAAATTGACAAAGTTTTGGCTAAGAATTTGAATCCTAAAAAGAATTCTTGCCACAGCCAGGGAATATCAGGTGAATCATGAAATGTCAGGGAATTTTGAAGAGTCAGGGAAAACCTGGAAATGTTAGGGAAAATGACAAAAGTGTCAGTCAAATGTTGTTACATTATTCACATTAATATGCTTTCTAGAATGGATTTGATGTTTTGCACAACAAATTTTGCCTACAAACTGTTTCAAATTACATCTTTTGAATCATCCGGTGTACCTTCAGTCGCCAGGGAAATTTATCAAAATGTGTCACGAAAATTCATTTCCCAAAATTTTGTGGCAGCCCTGAGCTCAAAGGGTTTTGCATTTTAATTTTCTTTCCCAGTAGTTTCAATTCATGATTAGAAACCTAAAATCCTTTTTCAAGGTTTTGAATTTTCATAATGGATTTTTATGATTCACCAGGGATCCAAGTTGAGCATGTTGATCATCCTTCCTAAAGATCACGAAACATTTGAGAAGAAAGACATCTCAAAAGCAAATCTAAGTTCCTTAAAGTTCGAAGAATTCCGTGTCCAAGTACAACTGCCTAAATTCAAGATTGAATCCACCATCGACTGGATTGATATTCTCAAGGTAAGTTGTTTATTGCAGTATGTAGCTAGATGTACATTTTTAATCTTGCGAACTGAAATGCTAGCTGGTAAAGAGACACCTTTCGTGAAACATTAAATTAGAAATTTAGTGTTCTAAAATAAAAAAAAAAAATGATTACATATTGGGCAACTGGCATCATAAAATGCCTTCATGAGGTGTCCTTGTCACCCAAGTATATTAATTCATAAAATAGTTTCTCCTCAATTATTTATGGTGAAAAATATTTTTAATGCTAGCAGTCAAAAAGATTATTTCCCTTGGAATGAGCCGAACTTGTGCCATGCCAGTTGATATTATTTGATAGTAAGTGACCGAAGCTCAAATCAAATGTCTCTTGTTTTTTTTCCCCCTGCAGCACAGTTTATTTTCTGCAAAAAGATCTGAAAAATTACTGGTTTGTTGAAGTTATTTTTTTTTTTTCGTAGAGGCGTGTCTAATATCGATCCCCTGTTATTATTTTCAGGAGAAAATTCCTACTGCATTCGATGGAAGGGCTAACCTTCAAGGAATTTCTGACACTAAGCTCCTCGTATCAAAAATGATTCAAAAGGCATTTATCAAGGTCGATGAAGAAGGAACAGAAGCTGCTGCTGCGACTGGTGAGTTTCCGTCATTTTTTAGTCCGTGGTGCTTGGGTTTCTTACACGGGTCTAGTTAAAAAATTTCCATTGCCTCAGAATATAAACACACTGGTCTTTCATGCCTCCAATATCAAAGTTTTGGCTCTATGTTTCTCTTTGAAAGAAATTTGACTCATATTTTTGCTGATTCCTGATTTAAATCTTCCAAAGTGTGAACTCCATGTCCTCACCCTCTGGCCAAAGTATCACAGGCGCCATGCGATTTCTAAAAATTTCACTGAATTTTATCGGCAGCACAAAGAAAATTCAGTGAAATTTTCTGACAGCTTCGTCGAACGATTTCTCTGTAAAAAAATAAAACGGCGGAGGAAATTTTTAAATGTCGCATGGCGCTTGCAATACTTTGGCCGGAAGGTGACGATGTGAGAATGAGGTCAATATCTTATTTTGATTCATATTTTTGGAATAAAACTGTTTACAACTGCTTCTTTAATATCTTTAAGATCATCTTTGAAAAGTGTTATCAGTTGATGAAAAAACATCGGAAATGATTCCATGAATGTGATTGTGTCAAAGAAAAAAAATTAAAACATGCTCAAATTGTCATGATTAGTAGACACTTATATTGTAGGCTGTGGAAATTTTTTCAATGACTAACATAACTAAGGGTTCATTCGTATAAATTCAGGTTTGCAATTGATTTGAAGGGGTTGCAATAGCTCTTCACTTCACTGAGGCATGAGAACTTCCAGAATTCAGATTGGTTAATTTTTAACTAACTCCTCAAACTTCTAAGATATAATTTTGCATGGTTTCTCAGGGTTGTATAAATAGGTTTTTTGAAGTATGAAAGAAGAAGCTGATAAAATCTTAAACAGTTTATCAGTAAATATAAAAATCAGTTTTCATTCATTGACTCTTATAACTGAATCTGCCCTAATTTTGTCTTATTTTTCTCAGGAAAGGTCAGTCAAGACTGAGTCCTACTATCAGTGGTATTTTAGATACCAAAATCAGATCCTTGAGCTTTTTCAATTCATCCATTTTTTCAAAACAAAAGAACTACAGAAATATGTCTTTCGTTTAAAAAAAAAAAGTCCCAGCTTTATAAATCGTATTAACAAACATTGTCTTGTCTGCGATTGTTTTGTTGCACGTCTTATGCTTAGCTGTTTCTCTGCTTTGCGATTGTTCTAGCCGGCGTTGTCAGAGCTAAACGTATGGCTCTTGAAGAACAGGAGTTTATCGTAGATCGCGCCTTTGCCTTTAGCATATTCTTGGAATTACCCGGAACTCTCGGAATGAATGAAAAAATTACTCTTTTCGGTGGCTTTGTAAAGAAGCCTGAGTTTGAAGAAGACAGTCCGTCTTCATTCCATGACGAACTGTAAAGTTTCAGTGTGAAAGAAAGCTCTCAAAAACTTTATCTGCGTCAACTTTTTGTCAAAGTCTAATTTTGAAGTCTCTTCAATATCATAAAGCAACAGTTATGACCTTACCAGGGCAAAATCAGGCATTACCCATGATCTATTTCAAAACTAATCCATCAGTATTAAAAAATGAAAATCTGTAGAATAATGATCTACCCACACTTAAAATAATTACAAATGAAACAAATAATGTTATAGAAGAAGGATTCATCAATTCTCATGTCTCAGTAATGTAAGAGAAGCAGGAGATGTTGATCTGCAGAGAATTTCAGACTGTAATACTCCATGGTTCCTCCTTTGTTTTGCTGAAAGAAGCATCAGTAGATTATGGAATGTAATTAAAATTGCGTTTGACCGCAAATGTATAATTTTTATTGAAGTTGGACGCATTTTGCCCATCCTCAGTGATGTGTCTCGAATTTTTTAATCTTCCTCAAAATAATCTTGATGCTCTCTCTGGAGTTGACTTTGCCTAATTTTAAATTTCGTTCTTCATTGGACACAACTCACACATTGATTGGTCTTTTAAAATAGACCTCATTCTACGTTTGAATGATGTAATCCTTGTCATAGCGTATTTTTATAAAGCATGACCTAGAAGCACTAAATTATTTTCAATCAGTATTTTTCTAATTAGTATGTGTTGCTGGCTGTGACATTTTTATATTTCTTGTAGTATATCTTGTTCTGATTGCCATTGGGCCTTTTAAAGTGTGAACATTAGCCGTTTCCTCTCTAGAAACTGCGCTCAATATTCATTGGTGCTTTGGATAGAGTGCTCCATCTTTGTGAACAGTAAAATTTATCACAACTAAACAGTGGCTTGTATTTTTTTCAGAAAAATATATTTCTCTGTAAAATCTTAGGCCCTTAGTTGCCAAATTCCTCCGGAAGGCATTTGATTTGTTTTGAAAGGCATGGTAGATGTAGATATGTTAGTCATTTGAGTTAGGAAAATATCCAGTTAGTAGATGAGTGAAGTACTTGAAAAAGTTCCCAAGTATTCATCATCTTCCTCTCATTTACTGATCTATTTTTAGCGCATTTATCAGAACAAGTGCCAAATAAAGTATTATTTCTCTTCACTATTAATGGTAAAACTCAAAGAAACTAGGGCTTTGAAAGCTTGCTCGAATTGTAACTGTCTGGCTCTCAACAAAATGAAGGTTCTTTGGGCCCTATGTTAGGTATTCTAGGTTACTAATTGAACTAACCACATAATTACGTTATAATGGGAGTGCTTTAGAAATAAAACATAAATGAAAAAGCAAACGCTATAGTCTCTCTTAACTTTTAAGTCTAAATAAATAATCTCATACTTTACAGTAAAATCCAAATGAAATACAAACCCTTATTTTAATAACAAATTTGACATGAATTGAATAATCTTTCCTTGAGGTGAAAAAATAAAGGGTAGGTGAGGGGAGGTAATCCAATTTGGATTTTTTCTTTGGTCCGGTCACCAAACCTGGCCAAGAATCCATACGTTCACCAGAGAAGAGACTAGTTACCCTCATCTCAGAAATAAACCTAAACCGTCATCGATCCCTCAGTTCATCAAACCCTCAAAACAAAAAAAAATAAAAAAAATTAGGGCATTTATTTTTACCCTTGTAAGGATGTATTTTGTTTTAATGTAGTTTTGGATTTTTTAAAATATCTGTCTTTAAGATTCAGAATACCATTCCAAGTTCCACTCAGGGTTTTCCCTCTTGCCAGGAGCTTCCATCGACCCCAGAAATTTCCTTCCTTGAAGTGTTTATTAAAAATCTCTGTTTCATATTCTAAATCGTGCTTTTACAGAATTGGTGATTTTTCTGGGTGCAATAAATTCAGTATTCAACTGAAATTCTCATTATAGCGGGAAAGAGCTCATCCAAGCACGATATTCCCCCCAAGAGAAATAATGTTTACAGCAACACTAGTCAGGACCAACCAGGAAAAAGAATGATAAAAATTTCAGTTGTATGCTGAAAATTTATCGCCCATGGCAAAATCACCAACTTGGTCTGAACGACTCGTGTGTCCAACCACAGTCTTTTCGTGTTTTCTAATACTTTGCTGATTTTCGTCTAAGATGAGCTGTATTGTGACTGTTTCTAGCAATGATAGCCAGTCGAGGGTTGGTTTTTCCGGATGAGACTTTCATTTGCGACAGACCGTTTTACTATCATGTCCGGGCAGACGTCGGTGCTGAGAATCACATCGATCTCTTCTCTGGTGTAGTCATTCAGCCTTTTTTCCCTGATGACGAAACCGACTCTGTATCTCGCGACTCGATGTATGAAGATTCAGACTGTGAGTCTGCACCGGAAGACTCAGAGTCACGCGATGAACTTTAAGATAATAATTTTCAACCCTCTCTCATCCGTTTGATAATCACCATTACTTCAACAGTTTTATAATTTGTGTCACCTCGTTTTTCTTAAAAAATTTGAGTGTATCGATTTTTCATTTCGTCTCTGTAAAGTTTCAATCACTTCCGTTTTCTTTTTTGAGTCTTGAATACCCCTCTTAATTTGGGCCTGAAACTTTACGGTTTACTAAAAATTTGCTTTCACAACCCCAACCGTCATTAGTTAAACTTGCAAAAAACTAATATTTGAAAGTCGCTTCATAAATATAGCACCAAGTCATTTCATGCATTCTATTTAATGAAATTCTTGAAGAAATGATTCCTTCAAGTGCTTTTTTTCCCATTGTATTTATACTAAATTGTACTTTCTTTACCTCCTTAAGAAAATAGAGGTATTTGATCGTCAATCAAACTCAGAGGTTCCAGTTAAAATAGATATTCATCATAATTTTATCATTACTCAAGTATTATTATTCTCTGGTTTTATCAATGTTCCTTGCAATTGCTCATAGATACTTTAATCGTCGAAGAAATGTCTATGATTTAAACCGTCCAGTTCCTAACAGAGACATTAAGGCAGAGAGCTAGGCATTTCCAAGCCTGAGAAGAAAATGAAGTCGCACTGTGCCTGTGAGATAGGCAAATAAATAAGAATGAGAACCTGAATATTGTGTTCTAGGTGCGGTAACTTTGTTTTAAAGTGGTTCTGAAGAGACTAATCTACCAAAGTCCTTTGGTAGTAAGAGTAAGACTACTTGGTAGTAGTCCATGGAGAAGTAACTTTGTTTTGACTGGAGAAATAATGGTGTTTTTCTTGTCCTGAACCTTACCCAGATTTGAATACGAAAGCATTTACAGCTATGAGCTACCAATAAAGTTTAAGTTCAGCGAACATTGTATTACACCATGTCTAAAAGGTAGTAGCACTGCATATATTAGTATGTGGAGTGTAGCCAAGTGCTAGAAAAATTTTTACATTATTTTTAGCACTTGGCCACACTCCACATACCAATAATAAAGTTTGTCGAGCAACTAAGTACCTGTGTGAGCTTAGTAAAAATTATTTTCACTTGAGTCATTCATTCAGATCCAACAAAATATTGTCTCTTTCATCACAAATATTTTGAAAATTTGTCGACATTGAATTTATTAATATCTAAAAGATTTTAGGTAGAAAGTTAGTGAAATCTACCCGGCAGTCCTCTTTTGAACTCAGTATTTTCTGAGCGTACCAGCAATCTACAAAGTTTCAAAAATTGTGTTAGTTTTTTCTATCAACATTGAACCCCTCTCAAATCAGGGCGACTTCATTTTCAATTTCCAGTGCTCTGTCTTCTTATTTGTAGGTCTGTAAGCTGCTGTGTTAAAAAATTCATTCTCTGAGATAACACCATTGATTAATTGTCCAGGCTTATTTGTAAATGAAGCAGCAAAGATTAGGTTCAATTTTTAACATCAGTTGAATCTTGCTGTCAGTAATTTCTGTCTTTTCAGAAAATTGCCATTTTTTTACAGTTCCTAAGCGAGACTCCGCAATTTGCACAAATTCTCATTCAATTTATTCTGTTCTACTGTTCTGGGAATACATCTGTTCCAGTAGTTTTAGAGGGGGATGTCTTTGTTATCTCCGTTCGTAAATTGACGTGTGTCACAGATAAATTTGATATTTTAAATTGAATCAGGTACAAATTGAGACAGCTTGTGTACTCTCTACTGAAAAGCGCGATCTTTTCTTGTAAATTTACAAAAAATCTTCGGGTTTTTTATTTTTATTTATTTTTTAGCTCCGTCAAATTCTCTTTTATTAATGCATCCCCTTTTAAAACTGCATCACTGATTCAACCGTCCAAGGTTAGGCCTTATAAAATATGCCCATATGCCTGACTTCCAAATTGTTTTTCAAATTTTTAGCAGTCGAACTGCAGTCTTGTTTTCTGACTTGTGTTACTTCGGTTTATGGTTAACTTTTGTTCGGAAGAAATTGTGTTCTTACTACAAAATTGTTTCTATCTCTGTCACTCTAAATCCCACCTGTAGATCCTGTAAATGCATGGTGTGTAAAAAACTTAGCGGCACTCTCTGCATGTCCTGAACAAACACATAATAAACCAACAACACATTAAAAATAATAGAAGCCTTTGAGTTACTGAAAAAATTGTTGAAACCGTTTTTAAAGTATTTCAGTGACTTTGTAGTGAAGAGCACATTTCATATTTTTTCATGTTGAAAATATTTCTTTCTTGTATGTTTTGCACTAATATTAGGTTAGTCTGACAAGAAGTCAAAATTGTCCGTACATTTCTGTGAAACTAACAATTTGTCTCACACCAAGTTTCGATGTAATTGAAGCCGCCAGTGGATGAATGAACTAGTTTCACTCTTGAAAAATTCAGGATTTGTTCCAAATTAAACTTCACAACAACAAAAATTGATCTCAAAAACTAATATAGACAACTCTTTCACACAACTTTGCACTTTCATCATGTGCCATATTTATAATTTTCGAACTTTGAACTCGTAGTTCTGAAAATGAAAAGGACTCTTTATTTCCCAGGGCTTCAATTGCATTTTTCTTTTAATAATAATATTTTATTTTTGAGTCATTGAACTTCCGTTCATCCAACGCCTATCATTAGGTTGAAGTTCCTCTAGAAAAGGAACAACATATGCACTCCAGCCGATCAAAGTCTCGATAAAACTTTTCTTTATGATTTATGTTCAATTTGAATTTTAAAAATAATTAATTTTGGGACTCATCTTGGAACTTTGAAAATGAAAGATTAAACTTTTTTACTCCAAATTGCTATAGGGACCAACTTTTTTTGAAGATATGATACATAGTTGCTATCAAAGAATAATGAAACAGCAGAAGTGTACTCTTAATTTAAGAAGAACAAAGAACATTTTAGAGCAGCCAAAATGCGCTTGCATGGATGTATGTGCCTTCAAAATTTATTCTCACTCATTATTTATGGAAGTACTTTATATCCGTCAGATGCGTTGATAAACGGAGGTTTATCTTGTCTTGCATTATAAAATGTTTTTCTTGGTATATATTTTATTACTGCTTAGTGTGTATGTGATATGCATCTAACTTTTCGTGCAATTTTCCTCAAAGGAATTAGAATAGATGGTTGAAAAGAATCATTTTTTTCTTTTCTTTTTTTCAAAGGCTACTTGAGATTAAAGATGTTATTGCTGCTTTTGATTTATCTACTCAGTGTGAACGTTTAAGAGTTAGTATCAAGGGTCATTCTCATTTTATATTTTAGATATATTTTGGCGTAACTGTAATTTGAGCTGAAAAAAAGAAGGAAAGAAAAAATTTAAATAAAAAATAACCCGTTTCTATACACTCTTTAAGCCTAGGTAATTAATTTTTCAGGGGGTTGACATATTAAAATACCTCATCCCTCCAAAAAATAGTAATTTTAAGGCAATGACTATTTTGGTCCCATCAACTCAGACCGTGAAGAAGTATCATCTGGTGTAAACTTTTTGCAATAGAAATTTTAAGTACCTCGCTCGTTATTCACGGCAATTCATTTGAATACGGAAAACTGAAAATTTTCATTTTGCTCCTTATTTTTATGCATTTTTCCCACAAAATTAAAACAATTATAGTAATGTCCTGCCAGATATTTTTCTGGAATTTTTTCAACCGGTTCACGTTTTTATTTTCCGATCGATTATTGTCGATCGAATTCATACCCTCCAAGGTAGGCATTCAATTCCGACTCGTGGATAATGGATTCGCAGATAAAGAGGGACTACTGTATTCATTTTGTGATCGTAGGCTTTAACTAGAGGGTAATCTCTTCGACCTAAACCACTAATGACCGTTGATTTTTCAGCAATGATGATGTGCTTAATGTCAGCGCCCTACCCCCAGGAAGATCCAAAACGATTCATTGTCGACCGCCCCTTCTACTATGCTCTTCGCGTAGACTACGGCTCAACGCATGCTCACCTCTTCCAAGGGGCCGTGCGTAAACCCATTGTTTGAAGCGACCACGCAGAGTAACACTCCAATGCCCTGTAATCAAAATGCCCATTCCCGGTTTCCTTATTCCAGTATTGTAGACCTAGTCTTTAAGCATCTAAAATCCTCAAAATAAACTAACATAGGCTAGGGTAACATGCGGTAATGTAGTGAAATTCAACAGCTAGCCCAGTTTGTGTTTAATACAAGTTGAAATCCAAGTTTCAGTCGCAGAAAAAGAGATGAAGATTGCTGTCTGAGAGTCAAACTGCATTCTTAAGCCACATTTGTACCAAAGTATTCTCAGAGGTTGATTTTGTGTTTATTGATTCAGGAACGTCTATACGTCTACCCGTTTAATTTCTAGCATGCTTAAAGTAGCTCTTTCACTGAGCTTGGATTCATGTCTAACGCTTTTTATCCGTAATTTTTTCTAAAACACATTGACCATAGTCTAAAATCCATCGCGACACCTGAATTTCATCCCTTCCAGGGGTGTAGAGAGTTCTTCGCCTTTCCATCCTTCCTGTCCTTCTCATTTTTAAAACCTATTTTCCCCCAAAAAATAAAGCCCATTTCAATGACACTTTTTATGTCTTGTATTCATAAATTTCCTGAATTTTGCGAAAACATACACATTTTACCGTAATTCTGTGAAAAACACGCTTTTACAGCGATTTTTGATAAGACACGAAGTGCGGCCTTCTCATTTTTAAAACCCAGTTTTCTCCAAAATTTTGAAGCTCGTTTTAATGACCTCTTCATGCCTTTATTCCTAATTTCCCTCGATTTTGCGAAAAACACGCACATTTTACCGCAACTCCACGATAAACATGCATCTTTTTCAGCAATTTTTGAAGAGACACGAACTGGTCTTCCCATTTTTAAAACCTATTTTTTCCTAAGAAATTTCAGAGCCAATTTCAATTATTTTGTTTTGTTTTGTATCCCTAAATTGCCTCAATTTTGCGAAAGAAACGCTCATTTTACCGCATTTCTATGAAAAACTTGCAAATTTTACTGCGATTTTTGAAGAAAGACGCTGTTTTAACGCTATTTTGAGCTGTCTTTCCCAATTTTCGCAGCATCTCAATTTTTTCATGCGATCGTGGTAGTGGATGCGTCGATCGGGAACTTTCTGCTCCTCCTCCTATCCTTTCTTTGTTACTTTTATAGTTGTTATCACCAGCGTGCAAAGATTGAAACTTTGTTTTTGATTACCCAAACGTTCAAATCACAGGTCCAATGTCTGCTAAGTTTAGCTTGTATCAATTGGACTACATTTATTGCAATTAGGAACCACAATTATTTCAAGCTCATCCATAAAAGCATGTACCTACGTAGGAAGACGAATAACACTTATGTTATTTCTAAAATGAGTCAGAAATTGTAGCTCCTCATTGCAAAATGCAGTCCAATTGGAGTCCATATTTACAGAGGAAACACCGTTCTATCTCAACTTGTGTGGTCATTGTGTTTGAATGAAATAAGTTTAAGTTCCTCTCGCACTTAATCCAAGTGCAAAGCATGAAGTTGAATTTTTGGGTTTTAACACGATTTAGCATGTTGAATCTCTAACTATATACGAATTTTAACTCTTGGAAAATACTAGCCTTCCCCTGAACAGCCTATCCATAATTGTTTTGAAAACAATGTAAGTTGATTAGATAAAACATTTTGCGCACCTCTGCTTCACAGCAAAAACGACCTAACTCCAGCGCTCATGATTCAACGTTTTTACTCCACACATAGATACTGCTCTATTCCGAGAAATCCCGATAACCATAATGCATTTTTCAGCGTGAGTTCTCGCTGGAATGCTACAATTATTCTAAAATTATGAAGGATGAATGTCCTTTTTTTTTGTGCAATACTGCATCTCGACAAATTGAAAAAAAGTCTAGTATGGAGTTACGGTGTTTTTGCTTCAAACGGCAGACCTCGTCAAGAAGTTCTCATATTTAACACCTTTCGAAAGTATTTTTAATTTGCAACAATGAGCAATACCTATGCTCCTTTCGTTTTATTGCTTTTATTGCAAGAGCTGTAACTGAAGAACTGAAGTCTAGTTGCATCTGGGGAATGGCTGTATTTGAAATTGTAGTTTTTAGAGACTTCACTTAACCAAGTCATAATTTTAAGTACCTGTATCATTTTATTATGATAGTTGTTGCCTATGTTACTTTTAAATTATGTATTTGATTTGATTTTGTATTTTATATAACAGTTCTATTTTTAAAAATTTCAAAATATAAAGAGAGTTTTCAAAAAATTACCCTCTAAAAAGTGTTTTCAATGATTCAATTAGTTACTCTTCCGCCAAACTGAAAAATTCTATTGAAAATTGCGGTAGCATTTTCTTAATCGTAAGCAAGGTCCAAGAGATGTCTCTAAATTTCAGGATACATTCCAAATATTTCTCCTAAAAATCTTCTACGTCGACTGTAGGGTTCACGAATATTTTCCCTTACTTTATTTTTATATCAAAATGTCCAACACTGCCAAGAAAGCCCAACAGTAATGTGAAATGTTTGGCTCTCAGTATTTATGTTTCGAGCCTGTTGAAGTTGGTTTCCCTTTTGTAACCGTCAACTATCTTCTCTGTCACTTTTGAATATTTTCAGTCCACCAAAATCCCCTGCAAATCACGGGTATACTTTCATAGTTACTGCTTCATCATTCATACTTGGAATTAACCCTATTCACAAAAAATATTTTGCATTTAACTTGTCATGGAAAAAGGAATTTTAACGATTCACAAGCGTGTTTGGTTTTTGTTCGAATACAAACTACTCGTAGAAGTGGAAGAAATATTTATTCTTTCAGTATATTTTGAGTCAATGGATCAAAAAGTTTATTTAAGGAAAAAAAAAGTAAAGGAAAGACTCCCAACAGTGGTGAAATAACAAGTTCTTCCTTTTCTTCAAATCAAACGAGTTTATCGTGGAAGAAAGAAAATTGAATAAAACCTACATCAAAGTGTGCATCCAATAATTACACAGCCAGAAAGGCTATTTTTTAATCTCTCGAAGGATTAATTTCTCAACAAAGCGATACCCCAACTTTCTAAGCTTTATTACTTACCATTATTTGGTACTAATGATAACTCGCCAGGGTGCAACAGGTTTGAAGCTTCAGTAGGAGAGACTAAAAATATACGGTTATATTTTCCTCTTTTCAGTATTAGTCGGAGTTGGTGCATCATTCTCTAACTCAGAAATCAAGGAGTTCTTGGTTAAGAGTCCATTTTACTATGCCCTTCGGTTTGACCTAGGTTTCGAACATGCAACCTTGTTTCAGGGGGCATTCAATGGGAGAGTTAAAGAATTGTCCCCTTAAATGAAAGAAGCAGTGAATATTAATGAAGTACATTTTGTAAGTCCTAAAAGTATTTTTTTCACTTGCTTGAAACTTAACGAAACCCACGCATAGAAGAATGAATTAATGGAAATATTTTCCATGAATAGACATAATTTTAGCATCATCCAACATCTGAACTATTAATAGTTATGATGCCCAGTTAGGTGATATGAATATGGTTTTACGTCAAGGGGATTGAAAATTGACAAGACTGGAAGTTTTACTTCACTAAAAACTAAGATCAGAAAGTGGGATGATTTCCACGTCAGACCAACAAATAATTTCAGCTAACCCAAGTAGCAATAACGATCGCGATAAGTTGCGATTTGATTCAGGAATATGCATCGCGACTTTATCGACGTCTATGTATTGCTTTACTATCGGATGAATATTGCGATAAATTACGATTTCACTACATTAATTTCAAATCAGATTCCGAATTTATCGACGGAGATTTATCACAATTTTATCGAACAAAAAACCGGGATGAATTGAGATAAAATTTCGATTTTATCGAACGCATCTCCATTTAGAGATAAAATTATTACAAGATCGAGGATAATCGCTCAGATGCGCCCATGATCCCGGTGATTCTATCGCCAAACTATCGTAATAAAATCACAACTTAATTTCAAAATATCTCGATGTTTCCGTTGAAAAATGCTACTTGGGAAGTTTAGAGCGCATAAAATTTCACCGCTAAGTTTACTTACCTATCACCTTGTCTTGGGTGAACCATTTGGACGAGACCGACATCCCAAGTAGCAGAGGTTGCAAAAAATTGCAACAAGATTGTTTGATTCTTGTTACTAATAGATTGCTGTGCAAATTGCCTAATCTCTGCCCTGAAGGAGCTATCATAGTTGGAACTAGTTGCAATTAAGTTGAGACATGTTTCAACTTCAAAGTATTGCTGGTTGCCTATCTTAAGATTTTAAACAACTTTTGTGCAGCAATTTTGCAATGTCAGCAGGTTGCAACTTTGTCTTCCGTTCAGATCGCCGGAAATCGGCACATATCGACCAAAAGTTGACCGAAAGTTGCAACTTTATTGCAACTACTACAAACATTGTTTCAACATTTTGCAACTTTTACATTGAAAAGTGCTACTTGGGATATCATATTCTATAGTATACCAATCATAGAAATAACGCATAACGCCAGAGGCGCCTCGGGGAGTCGGACCGCGAGGCGGTCAAGGGGCTTAGCTCCCAAATATTGATAAAAATATATCGTACTAATGAGTCTGAGAAAACGCACTTTTGTCTATGAGATTCAGCTGTAAGTCATATTTTTTGTCTGATTTCAGCCATGGCGGTTGAATTCTTTTCTATGCCAATACCTGAACCACCACCAAAACCATTCCATGTCGATCGACCGTTTTACTACAGTGTCCGCGCTGAGACTGCCTCTGGATCGATCGATTTATTCCAGGGCGTTGCGCCAATGCCCCACGATTGAACCTCAAAGTGTTTAAAGGAAGGCCAACATGTTGAGGCACTTAGTAAATCTCAATTTCATCAGCAGGTGCACTTCGAAAACTCAACTGCTTAAAAAATCTATCCCATATTTGTTTCAACTCTCAACGTTTAAGGAAAATCCAGAAATTCTCAACCCACAGATTAATATCATTAATTTTTTGGATACATTACCTATAACTAGAACAAATTCTAGATGACTAATATAAATGATGTTAGATTTTATGAATAAAGTACTTGTAACCATCAACTTATATAAACATAAACAAAACAATTATAATAAAACATATTTATCAGACCTAATTCTCAGTCTATAAATAAGTAATTCAGCAGATATTTATAGAAGAATAACCTACTATTTTTTGTAATGAGCAACAATTCATCGATTTCGAGAAGGAAAGGTTGGTATACATATTTTCTCTGAAAATAAAGGACGTTTCCAGAACATTTTCTTGATTTTAGAACCATTTTGAAGAAAAATCTCCAATTTTAATATCCCACTGTAGTCTATCAGGTCAGGTGTTTGCACGGGCACAAGATTTGACGAAGAAATCTGGCGAAACATCCATAAGTACGTCCGTCCTGAATATCACTAATGATTTTGTCCGTGGAATTTTTAGTGTATCTTCCGAAGAAAACACACTAAGTATTATTTAGTTTTCGATCTGTACTTTTCAAGTGTCTCTCAAATTCTGTGTACCAAAACGTGACGTACTTCCGCTTGATGTGAAGTTTAAAATTGTTGGAGGACAGTCTTGAATGTATTAATAAAATACAGAAATCATCAATTATTCGATCGACCATCGAAGCATTCTCCAAAACTCTGTAGAATGTAAGAACCACCTAACCTCGTTAAAATTTGATGCTTGAAAAATAATATCTCATCTCTCACCCGAAAGTATGTACACACATTTACAAAACAGAGCGTCTATGGTTACAAATTCTGATTCTGGATCGGTAAAATATTTTGGGGATGCATGGGGTTATTAACTGGCTGGATTTCAATTTGAACAAATTCGACTAAACGCTTCGATTTGTGTGGCTTTGGAATGGATTTAGATTACTGAAAACTTTACAAGAACTGGATGTATTTCTGCCGAACGGGACTATGTGCATGAAGACATGAGCTCTAAGACCCATAAGAATTTATGCATAACAGGGCTCAAGTTATTATGCACATAGTTCCGTTTGGCAGAAATACGTCCAATTGTGGTCACGTAAAATTGGGAATTAATGGATGAGAGGTTTAGAGACCAGATTCAGAGCACGTGTATTAAACGATACACCAATCTAAATCCTCACTATTAACATGAGTGCAGAATGCTCGCGAAGCAACGATTGATCGGTCGTTCCCGAACTGCGTAGGCAGTGGGAAAAATATTTAGGCAACGACCTTGATTAATGTATAATATAAAATTTATAACGTTCTGATCGCACCATTTTGCTTACACTTTTCGAAGTTGAGCGCGCGCGAGTTTTAGTCTGTGCTTGCACAGATAACTTTTTAAAAAAAGTTTATTTGATTCACAAAAAGGAATTTATTGAATATAAATTTCGATACAAGAAATTTTATATAATTGACACAAGGGAAAGCACGGGGACTAATCAGCTGTCAATTCGCATTGGAGGACAGATCAAGAGTGGTCAGAGAGAGAGTCGCAAAATATGACGATTCATATTTTGCGAAGGCAGGGAAAAATGCTGATAAACAAAACGTGACTATAAATGGAGCACGTTGCGATGATAAAAAGAATTATATGTGGGCCTAATTAGGCTGTCATACATAACTCGCGCCGCCCAACGCATTTCCAAATTCGCGTTGGACTAGAGATCGAATTCCGCTAGCGGGCTCGGTGAGACGGCGCAATGCTCGAAGTATCCCAACTGTTTTGCAGGCGCTTCTTAAGACCGTTTCCCGCGCAAAATTCAAAGTTTTTTTCTCCGCCCCTCTGGAAGATGAGGTCCCTTTCTACAGACCCTGTCAAAATTGAACGTATTTCTGCCAAACGGAATCATAGGCGAGCGGGAAAGATGGGGTGTGCTTTATAAAGCTGCATAAGAAATATCTTTTCGGCTGACGAAGACTTAATGCAACGGTGACTTACACGCAAGAATAGATAAGTTGGGCGGGGCAGAACGCGTGATACAACTATTACGACTTCCAAGTAGGTATAATTTCGTATCCACAAATGAAGGAGAATCTCTTCTCGGCTGACTTAGAGATAGAGACTTTAACGCAGGAGTAGATAAGTTGGATGGGGCAGAAATCGTGATACAAGGATATAACTATTTCGACTCCTAAGTAGGTAAAATTGCTTATCCACAAAATGAAGGAGAATCTCTTCTCGGCTGACTTAGAGACTTTAACGCAGGAGTAGATAGGTTGGATTGGACAGAACGCGTGATACAACTATTACGACTTCCAAGTAGGTCAAAT